CACATATAAATCTGCTAGATATTGCCAAATTCCCCTCTGTAGAGGTTCCAATATTTTGTATCCCCACCAACAAGACGTGAGTTTGGCTGGTTCTCCTTAGCTTTGCCAGCAGAGCAGGGTAATACCAAACATTTTTTGATAATATAAGTCTGGTAGGTAGAAAATGATAAGATTCTTGTACTTTCGGTTTGCTTCTGTTTTTACTATTGTTTCAATCAAATTCTAGTGAGGAAAAGAAAACTATACCAAATAATATAGAAAACTAAATGCAGGTAAAAGGTTAAAACAAAAATTGGACTAAAAAGGCAAAAAGAAAGCATGAGGAAATAGAGAAAGAGTGCAAGCTAAATCAACTAAATCAACTATATTAAAACACTTCATATTTGGAATATACAGAGTGACTTTGACCTTCAACTGAACCTTGACTTTTCTCCGTGACTGTTGCCCCCAAATCATCAATGACGTCTCTCTGACTTACCTGCTCAAACTTTGACACTTAGCCTTTTAATCTCACTGAATTTAGAGGGGCTTCTTATGTGCCAGAAGATTGCCTTGAAGTCATAAAGATATGACTGGCAGGGTTCTCTGAGATCTGAGAAAAATACTCATCTCAGAAGCTTTATTTAAGTCAACATGCCCATCCCCAATTTCTGAATTTTTAAAAATCTGTGCCTGAGAGGTCTCTTGAAAAACTAGGGGGCAGAATGGCACATTAAACAAACCACTATAATCTTGGCCCAGTTTCTCAAAAAACTATGACATGGAGTAATCAATAGCAATGTTTACAACAAAGATAACACTTAAGAAAAAACAACAAGGTTAATTTATGTATGCTGATGCAAAAACTCTGAATAAAATACTATCAGATATTATAATGCTAATAATAAAACAGCACTAGTAACAAAATCCTATTACTTAGTAGGTATATTTTCTAGAATTTATTCAGTACATTACCAAATAAATGGATCAAAGGAGAAAAATATAAATCACTACCTCATAAAATAATCACAAAAGATTTAATGCTACTTATATTTAAATTTTAGATAACACTGCTATGTGTACTGGGTTTTTCTCCAAGGAATGCAATCAAGGATTATATCTTTGTAGTTTGCATCTTTTCTCATCTTTCAGTAGCAAAATTTATGTTTCAAACTGGAGTGGATTATTTTGCACTTATTACAAAAAACGAAGCAAAGCTAATTATTTTACCAGATAAGCCCCTGTGCTTTATCTAAAACTGACAGAAAAGAATTTCTGGGTTATGAGTTTTATTATAGAACTCTGAATTTAAGGAAGAGCTTAATACATTTTTACCTGAAAAAAAAGGGGTGGGGGGGGGACAGATAGCCCCTTTCGTCCCTAGGGTGGTGAAAAATCTAGTCTCAATCCTGTTTCGTAGTCCCCTCAGCCCCTCCAGAGTTGCATTACAACCTAGGGCCCTATGTGGTACCTGGACTTCAGAGGAACGTCTAGTCTTCACCATGGCTGTGGTTGGGATGTTCACTGTCCAAGATGACTCATCTATTTGAAATCAAGGTGAGGTAGCAGATCCATCCCCTGTGCACTAAAGGATCTTGCCCTTACAGGTGGGTCCTCCTGGTGCCTACACAGCATGCTGTCACTGGTCCTGTCACACACACTCTGCATGTTAAGAGGGATGCACACCCCTTTCTCCCATGTCTGAAGAAAGTGTATAGGTCTCAGGACCAATTTTCTAATTCCAGGGGTGATGTCAGCAATCCTGGATTTTCAGATTGCCTTGGTGACTGTATGGGATTTAGGATCAACTTCCCTGGATGAGTGTATCCTGTCTGGAGGAACGAGGATAAGAAAGGAATGCCTCTGGATCACTGGTATATCAGGTCTGGCCTATCTCTCACTGGTCCAGAGCCCTCTGTACATGTGCTTAGTCGTGTCTGACTCTGCGACCCCACAGACTGTAGCCCACCAGGCTCCTCTGTCCATGACATTTCCCAGGCAAGAATACTGGAGTGGGGTACCATTTCTTTCTCTGGGGGGATCTTCCTGACCCAGGGATCGAACCCATGTCTCTTGCATCTCCTGCATTGGCAGGCAGATTCTTTACCACTAGCAAGGTCCAGAGCCCTACCAGCCAAAAAAGATTCACTATCTGCACCCCACCCCCACCCACTCCAAAACGTGGTTCAGGGACAGAGCACTGCATCACATTGTACTCTCAGGGACACCAACTGTCAATAAAGCAGCCACTTGCTGTTCTCTGAGCAGATTCTTAGCTTCCACTCCGTCATGTACCTCTACCTCTCACCATGCCAGGCTGTCCACCTCCACCGCCAACACAGCCAGCCACACACAGAGCCTTGAAAAGATAGTTCAGGTGTGGTAAACTGGTAAGTACTGTGAATTTTAAAATCTGGATTTCTGGTTTCTCTTGAAAATATCAAGATGTGGCGTAACTGGGCCTGATTCTCTGCATGGCAATGGCTAAAATTGAGTCAGGTTATCCTTTTAGATGGGCATGCGCACTTCAGGTTACAGCACTCTTCTCACTTCACTCATTTGCACTAGCTACCTCACCTCTACAGACTTCTAGGTTTCTATTCCTTGAGTGTACATGTCATCTGTTCTAAGAGCCCTTCCTTCTTCCCTGTACCTGATGAAAATTCTCCCAATTTGAATGGCAATCAGACGGTATATTCATTACCTGCTTTTTACTTTCACTGAAAAAAAATTTACCTTTTCTACCAGTCTTTGGTAGAAATAGACATGGGCAGTACTTAACAAATATTTTATTTTCTCAACAGAATGATAGCACTTTCCTTCCCTATTATGGGGCCTAAATACCATTTGTAGCTATGTATCTTTATTTTGAAGACATACTCCCACTACCTGTCAAAAGTTCAAATGAATACTTCAATGTCCCTTAGGAACTTACTAGATGGTTCTTGACCTTTATAACTTTCTTTCAAGAGTACTGAGTCAGTCAAAATAAAATTAAACTCACCTTTAAATCTGTGGGGGTAATACTTTTGCTGCTGACAATTTTAGATTTAATTCAATAGCTTTTCTGCCTCCGAAGACCTAATAAGTCAACCAGTAAAATCTAAACAATGTCTTTTGTAAAAGATAACTGTGATCACTTTGTAAAGCATACCTTATTATGCTTTATTGCTTAAAAAAAAATTAAGGTTTGTGGCAACCCTGCATCAAGTGTTTATCAGTGCCATCTTTCCAACAGAACTTGTTCACTTTGTTTCTGTGTCATATTTTGGCAACCCTTGCAACATTTCAAACTTTTTCATATTTGTTACATGGTAGGTGATGTTTCATGTTACTGCTATCATTCACTGAAAGCTCAGATGATGGTTAGCATTTTTAACAATAAAGTATTTTTAATTACACTATTACATTGTTTTTTAGACATAATGCTACTGCAGTTAATAAGACTACAATATAGTGTAAACACAACTTCACTATACACTGGGAAACCAAAAAATTCATGTGACTCACTTTACTGTGATATTTGCTTTATTGTGGTACTCTAAGGCATGCCTGTACTCACACAACACTGTGAATATCCTATTGGATCAAACTGCTGTTGACAAAGCCATCTTCCATGACTTGGAACTCAAATACAAGGCCATGAGGGAGGCAAAGTTCAAGTTTGAGGCAATCAAAGACAGGCAAGGCAAGTGATTCTTCCAAGGCTGTGATTTTAGATGCTGCCTATATCATCAAAGCAACTTCCCAGGAGAAAAATAAACAGAAGGTAGTAATATGCAAAATACCCTTTAAAAAAATTTTTTTAAGGGTAACTGTCATTAATACAGCAGGATCAGATATGATTATGAAAGATACAAAAAAAAATCAGAAGAATGTTAGCATTTAATAGAAATTAAAACCTGAGCTGAAGGCTAATCAAAATGTTTGATACTTGGCACTGTTCTCATGAAAGATAAGAAACTTGTTTGGTCTTATAAATAAGACAGGTAACTCGGAAAAAGTTAAACTTAGATTTCAAAAAAGCTACAATGCAGTAACACTTGACTTTTTAAAAACTTCACTATGCTACTGACAAACATTTAAGATAACAAGGGTTATATGAAGCTCTTGAAGGGGGAGGCAGGGAAGCATATAAATTATAGATTTTTAATTTGCAAGTTATTATTTTGAAGAAATAATTTTGGTTTATTTATTCATTTAGCTCTAAAAGGCTGGCTCAGCTTGTCAGAGCACAAGAGAGAGCTGAAAGAAGTCAAAGACATGGGTATGTGCTAACATAAAGCCATTCCAACTTCTAAAAACAAGTGACACAGTGTAATACCATCACAAAGGACAGCATTAGCAGGAATAGGACACCTGTGATCTAATTCACTTCTCTCTTTGGCTTCCAGAGTATCACTTACTAAGAATTTGATGAAAAATAGGGAAATTCTACTCCTTTAATTAGTAACTATCATTAAACAGGAGAAACAAACAAAAAAAGCTAACACAAAGTGATGTACTTCACTGACTAAAAATCTGTGAACATGAATTCATTTTAGTATGTTGAATCTTGAGACAAACTTACAAAACAATGGTTAATATACTACAAAACTTTAAAAACATAAAATCTCATCTACAGCAGAACTCCAAAACTGATGGAATTAATTTCTCCCTTTTAATTATTCCTTCTAAGGAAAGTCCTGAAACTGAGCAGTCACTGGAATTTCTACACTTTTACACATCATCAAAACATGGTTTTTTTTTTTTGTCAAAATGATGCAGGAAGCAATTTCGAATGAGATCAAGGAGCTTATGTTCTCTAGAAACACATTTTCTGTTTTTTGTACTGCAGGTTACATAAAAAATAAGGAAGGCTGGACTCATAACTTCTTTGAGCCCAATGTCATTAAACTCCCAATGTCCTCATGCTAGGAAAGGATATGGTATTTAAGTACACTACTAAATTTAAAAAATATCTCCAGTTCCAAAAGAAGCACTTTTTATTTTTTAAAAAAGGGCTGATGCAGTGCCCTTACTTAGCGGAGACCAGCCACTGACTTTCTTCCTTTACCAGCTTTCCAAGATGATACCAAGTGAGTTTTTGCCCTAATATTTTTGCCTCGGGTTTTACGGGGCTTCTCTTCTTTGTGTACCTTCATGTGCTGCCTAAGGTGAGAGCTCTGGCTGAAGCATTTGCCACATTCACTGCACTGGTATGGTTTCTCCCCAGTGTGGGTTCTCTGATGCTGAATGAGGTGGGAACTCTGGCTGAAGCATCGGCCACATTCATCACACTGATAGGGTTTTTCTCCAGTATGAATTCTCTGGTGCTGAATGAGATTTGAGCTCTGTTTAAACCTCTCTCCACACTCATCGCATTTATAGGGCTTTTCCCCGGTGTGGATGCGGCGATGCTGAATGAGATTAGAACTCTGAAAGAAACTTTTCCCACAATCCGCACATTTATGGGATTTCTTTCCAGTATGGATCTTCTGGTGTTGAAAAAGAGTTGAGCTCTGACTGAAGCTCTTTTCACATTCAACACATTTATAAGGCTTCTCATCCAAGCTTCTTCTCAGTCTACTCAAGCTTGAGTCAAATCGGACAGTCATCCCCCATCTCTGCCGCTGCCGGCCTGTTTTGCGCTGGTTCTCATAGACTTTTCCTTGGCTTGAGCTCCGAGATATACCTCCTTTAGGTTTTCCTAACCGCATGGTGAAGAGTCAAATGTATTCTTAAGAGAGTCTATGTTCTTCTTCTGAACGAGTGTTCCACTTCCTAGAGCTACACAGCTCAAAATTTTCTGTATAAAAGAAAAAAATAAAAAACAAATTATAGATGATTTGTTATTCAACTTTAACACCTCTTCAGCCCATCAAAATTGATCTATTTTAAAATTACAAATGTATTCAATATATATATGAAAACAAATATAATTTAGGGAAAAATATGTGCAAAATAATTCTAATAATTTCAGTGAAAGTTGCTCAGTCCTGTCTGACTCTTTGCGATCTCATGGGACTATACAGTCCATGGGATTCTCCAGGCCAGAATACTGGAGTGGATAGCTGTTCCCTTCTCCAGGGGACCTTCCCAACTCAGGGATTGAACCCAGGTCTCCCATATTGCAGGCAGATTCTTTAAAAGCTGAGACACAAGGGAAGCCCAATAATTTCAGAGTCTAAACTTAATAAATACAACCAAATTTACCTTTGGAGTTCTTGTCTGTTGGGACAGGACAAAAAAAAGTGATAATATATAATACAAATTTTTGTTGGGCAATAACAAATAAGTATGTCATTCTGAAAGATTAAAAAGTAGAGACAACATAATATTTAATGGGAATAAAAAATAGCTCCGAAAGACAATCAAAATTTGGGTGATAGATTATCATTATGTTTTAACATTTGCTCCCATATTAAGCTGATAGTCATTTATGGGTGGCTAATTAGGGTGTCCAAATTAGAAAGAAATGACAAATCATAATAATTTATTAAATGTTTGTTTATCCTTATTTGCTTAGCCATTCTACTTTCACAGCTGCGGAGGACAATTTAGTTCTAACTTTGTAACATAAACTGTTTTGAATGTAAGAACTATTCTATAAGGAGTGGAAAGTTTCTGTAATCTATTCAATAATACTGGGTGAGGAAAATGTCAACAAAGAAATGTCTCCTTATTATTTCTTCTACATTCCAATGATCCAAGAAAGGACACTTGTTTGAAAGCTTGATACAAGGGGATTTTTTTCTGGGAGGCAAAAATTTCCAACGAACTTTATTTGATATTGTAATGTAACAGAATAAAAGGTGGTAGGTAAAACGCAAGAAGAAGAGAAGAAAGTAAGTTTATACGGAACTTTAAAAATACCTAAATGCTGCAAGAATTCAAAATTTCAAATAAATTAATTTAATTTAATTACTTACAAGGTTATTTAAAATTATGGCCACAAACAAGCACAAACTCCAAATAGGTGAGAAATGTGGGAGAGCCTAAGACTGCAAAGGTAATACCATTATTGGAACTAATTTCCACCTCCTGTGTCAGCAAGTAGACTTTAAAATGGGAATAATCACCTTGGTCTTTGCATACAAGCTTACAAAGCAAATAACTGAAAACAAAAATTATTTCATGGTTACTGCTTTTCCTTCATTATATTGTATAACTGAGACTCTAGACCTGATAGTGCTGAGATTTTAACTGTGTATTTAACAGTTACATCTGCTGTAATTAAGGTAAGTACCAGAGAGAGAAAACTGTGTACAAGACAAAATTAGAGAGCACTGCTCATTTCTTAACTTGGTAAATATTTGTGGAACATCTATTTCAAGGAGACATCTGTTAGGTACATGATGTTGGTGTTCAAAAATAGCTATAATGGTAATTATGTTAAAAAAAAAACATTTATTTTTCAATACTATAGAAGGCAGTTCTAGTAGGAAATTCTAATTCAGCTAGAACACTACAGACGAGGAAATCATACAGGTAGCCTGCGTCACCGTGCTATTTCATTCTCAGAGCAGGTTTACGGGATTATCTTCATCCTACTTCCATTTCTAAGGAAAGGGTTGGCATACTTTGGCCAGGTTCCCAGCCCCTAGCAGCCTGACCCCAGAGCCTGTACTCGCAGTGGCAAAACTGACTGCAACCCCAACTTGCAATGTCAAGTCCAGCGCTCCGACTGGTGCTGTGCCAAACTCCACGGCAGTCGCGGGCGGGCATTACAGTAAACTTGAGTGAAAGGAGCGAACAAGCTGGAATGTGCTTGCTTTCTCGCCAATAAAAACTGGGATGACAATGAAGCCGCAAGATTATCCGGGTGTTAGAAATTTACATGAGTCAAGGTCTGTAAATTGCTCAGAACAGCCCTGCGCCACCCAAGCGTTTATTCAGTCTGTTTAATCCGGACACGCGCCTGATGGATGGCGAAAGGAATGCGGCTCAGAAACCCAGGCCAGTCCTCTGGCCTCAATTCGCCCGGACTCCGGTTAAGGCCTCCGCCCTGCCGAGGCCTCCGACTGCCGGGCCCACCCCACCCTCTTCGCCCCCGGCCAGCGGGGAGCCCTCGGGGCCTCCCGGTAGCGGAGGCCCGAAGCCGCGCCCCCAACGCCGTTCCCGGGTCGGCGCCGCCCAACCGCGGCCAGCTCGCGCCCCTGCGGGCTCGGCCCACTCACCGCCGCCGCCCTCGCTCGCTTGCCCCGAGCCCTTCGCGCTGCCGGAAGTGCAGGCCGCGCGGTTAGTCTGCGCCACGCGGTCGCTCTAGGATCCTGGCGGAGTGACCCTCTATGGTCCCGAGCCCACCGGAAAAAACCGCTCTTCGTTTCTTCCTGTGCTTTTGTTTTCATCTCCTATTCCTCGAAAGGCGTCGTGTGGCCTCCCAGGAGCACAGGATCTGTGGTTATCTCCCTCTGTGATGAAGGAGCCACCAGCAGGCCGGGAACTGCAGCCGGTGTTTCAGGGCTTTTGAACTCAATACCAGCCCGTTCGACCCCGAGACTTCGTTGTACAAATATTGATTACTGATTTTATAGAGGTGCTTCTGAAGAGCCTAAACTATTCCTGATACTTTTGAGTCACCTTATTTAATTATACCAAAAAGCCCCTACAAAATGGGAACGATCATAACTCTCTCTCTTTTTTTTTTCTTAAATGTTTTTATTGGAGTATAGTGGCTTTTTGGGAGGTTTCCCTGATGGCTCAGCGGGTAAAGAATCCGCCTGCAAAGCAGGAGACATAAGAGATGTGGGTTCAATCCCTGGGTCGGGAAGACGCCCCTGGATGAGAAAATGGCAACCCACTTCAGTGTTCTTGCCTGGAGAATCCCGTGGACAGAGGAGCCTGGCAGACTACAGTCCATGGGGTAACAGAATTGGACAGGACTGAGAGACTAAGCGCACACACGCAGTTGCCTTACAGTGTTGTGTTAATTGATTGAACTCATTTTACAGTTAAGGAAACCAAGGCTTAGAGTAGCAGTTTGCTCAAGTTCAGACAGTGTGTAAGTAGATGGCCACATATTGGAATGTGTCTTTTTGACTCCAAGTCTGGTGATTTTCAACACACCACCTGTTTTTCTTTAGTAATGATCTCTCCTTGTTTTCATCTCTTGCAGCCAATCGCCTTCTTGTGCTGGGTCACCTGATCCCTCCTCTTCTTCCTGGGCCCTCCTTTGCCTACAGAACGCCTCCAATCTAATGGCTTCAGATACTATCTGTATCTGCTGAAGACTCTTGAACTGCTAACTCCAGTCTGAAGTTGGGATGCGAGTATTACTGAGCTCTAGACTTGTATATACAGTTACTCAGTGCCTATTTGCATGTGTGGTATACCCCCAGATGAACTTACTATATTCACCGAACATGTTACTTCAGCAGTCTTCATCCTGACAGTTGATGGCAACTCCAACTTTCCAGTTGCTCAGGTCAAAAATCTTGATGTCACTGTTGTCTCTTTTTTTCACCCCAAACCCACAAGCCATCTATAATTCTGTTGGCTCAATCTTCAAAATATATCCAGAATTGAACCACTTTCAACACCTCCACTGCTATTAATGCCATCAGGCTGCTATTACTTCCTATCTGGATTATTGCATTAGCTTCCTCTCTGGTCGTCCTACATCTACTCACAGCCCCAGAGTGGTCCTCTGAAAAACCCAACTCAGATCATGTCATTCGTTTTGTTGAAAATCCTCCAAAGGCTTCCTAAATTCTCGAAAGACTTTGCTCTTATTAGAGCAAAAGCTCCCCATGTTTCTAGAACAAGAGCTCATGACTTCACAGGGGCACCAAAGCTTTTATGATCTATTTCCTGTTCTTTGTCATATCTGTGGTGCTCAGAACAGTGCTCAGAAGGTAGCAGGCACTCAGAAAATATTTGTTGAATGAATGAATTTATAAGATGTCTCATTGTTCACAAAGTGCTTTTACATCTGTTCTCTGGTCATTCATCTTTACTATAGTCTCACGAAGCAGGGATCCTAGTATCTGTCTTAAAGAGCAATAAAATAAGGCTGAGAGGGAAACTTGCCTGGAATACATAGTGGGTTAATGGCAGAAGGTTCAGATCTCAAGATGGAGCCTTCTGCTCTGCAGATGGAAAAGCGTGAAACTGACTAAGTCCTGGACAGGGACTGTCAACTCAGTAATCTAGATGATAGCCAGACTGTTAAGATTAAATAAGATAATGGAAGGCACTTAGCACAATGCCTACCACATAGGAAACATGAGGCATGGTTTGTTGTTGTTCAGTTGCTAAGTTGTGTCCGACTCTTTGTGACCCCATGGGCTGGAGCATGCCAGGCATTGTTATTTTACTATTAAATTATTATTACAAGTGGTTGATTCTGGTGGTTGGATGGGGGTAGGGGTATGGGACAGTGGCCAAAGATAGTTTAGGTAAAGTTTCAAGAACAAAAGTGACCTGTTGGAACTGTTTGCTTTATGTGCATTAAAATAGTAAAAATTTATTTAAAAAATTTTACTAGTAAGAGAAGCGTTACTTGCTCAGTTGTGTCTGACTCTTCTGCAACTCCATGGACTGTATCCTGCCAGGCTCCTCTGTCCATGGAATTTTCCAGGCAAGAATACTGGAGTGAGTTGCCATGTCCTTCTCCAGGGATCTTCTCAACCCAGGGATCGAACCCAGGCCTCCTGCACTGCAGATTCTTTACCATTTGAGCTACCTGGGAAGCCCAGTTAAAACTGCACAGCCCACGTAAAGGTGGATTATCCCTTTTGCCTGTACCTAAAAACAGTTGGGCCAGCTACAGAAGGCCCAGAGATGTGTAGATGAGAGGAGTAGAGAACTGGATGAAGGAAGATGAATCTTAAAAAGGAGAGAACAGCAGTCAGGAAATAAAGGGCTGTGGGTAGCCAAGAGTGAACAGAGTAGGAGGTAAGGATGGAGAGAGGCAAGAGATAGAAAAGGATACGGGGTAGAGAGGAGGGGGAGGAGTAAAGAAGAAAAGGAAGAAGAGAGGGAGAGAAAGTAGGCAGGGTTTTATGCTCTCAATTTATGTCAGTATGATAATAGCCAACACCTATTGAGTGCTTACTAGGTTCCAGGTACTGTTGGAAGCACTGGCAGTTCCTCATTCAGTATTCCCATGGTGTGATGGTTCCTGAGCATTTGCTCCACCCTTCTTGAGTTTTACATCCCTGCTTAAAGCTGTGTGACTTTCATTGTCTCCTAGTGAATGACTGCCCATTCCACTGATATTGGCCAGCTGCATGTGTGTGCATGCAATGTGTAGCCCATTCCAGAAGAAGCTTTGGGTCACTCTGTTTCTGCCACCATTCTTTTTTCCCTCTGCTTCAAGAATAATATATCCCAAGTAGTGGCTGCTCCAGGATGAGAGGACATGTGGAGTGGACCCACATGAGCCCACTTGTAGCCACCTGCAGTCACATGTAAAAGGCCAGAGGAATAAACGCTCTTGTAACCACTCTTAAGAGATAAGAATTGTTATAATCCTGTAACAATGAGAAAATGGAGGCATGTCGCTTGCCTAAGGTTACATGTTCATAAGTGGCAGACAGTTTGGCCTCAGAGCCTATGCTCTTCGCCTCTACCTAGCAGTATCTGTCAAATAGAATTCCAGGTTACTTTTAAACAGAGTAAATGCTTGAAATTGGTCACACTGGATATTTACAGATCCAGTGTAAATATTTACAGATCTAGGGGATCTTCCCAACCCAGGGATTAAACCCAGGTCTCCTGCACTGCAGGCAGATTCCTTACCAGCTAAGCCACAAGGAAGGCCTGGATATTTACAAAGCAGAAAGGAAAAAGAGGGGGAAGTGAGAGGGAGGACTGTACAGCCAGGGCCACAGAGATAGGCTGTGTTCTCCTAACAGAACATCTTTCTGAGAAAATTGGGTCCAGACAGGCCAGCTCTCTCAGTGGTTAGGGCTTCTCTGGGAAACTGCTCACAGCAGGGGCCAGAGTGTCCCTGGGTCCAGTTGTATCTGAAGGGCTCATTCTAGGAAGAAGAGGCTTCTGGGCTGAGAACAGTTTTTTTTTTTTTTTTTTTTTTAGTATAATTGCTATAGAGTGTTGTGTTACAGACTGAGAACCGTCTTGGCAAGACAGCTTTTTACTCTAGTTTTGTTCCTTGCACCCCCAACTCCCTTGCAGACAGAGACACACACCAGAAAGCACTGCCTTGACAGGGAGCGCTGCTGCCTGGGGTCTGCACTGGCAACAATGCAAAGGAGGCTGGTCACACGTGTGGCCCAGGGACCAAGTGCAGTAACAGGGGCCGTCTGTCTCCCATAAAGGGCCCCCGAACAATGGTTCTGCCCTCCAAGCCTGAGACTTTGCTTTCTGTTTCCTTTGGGAAAGGAAACTCTGGGAATTCCCATTCCTGAGTTTGCAGAAAACATCTCTGTTAAAAGCCCAGCCAGGAGGGAGCAGAGTCCAAGGGCGGATTAGCAGCTGGCTTTCTCCCAGATAATCACAGCTCCTGGGACCTGAAGACAGCATGTGCACTTGCTTTTTTTACATTTGGAAAGGCTTGAGTCTGGACTGCCTTTCCTGGGAGGCAGGGGCAGGGCACCTGACAAAAATATCCCACTGCTGCCTTGCAGCTGTGGGCACATGGATCCTGCCCACATGGGCACATTGTGTATTGCTAGCTTCTCCACAATCACCCGATCTGACAGGGTAAGCCTCGTGCTTTATTTCCCTAGGACTAAGGGGCCAGGTGTGTCCTTGGTGAACCAATGGCTTTATTTTAACAGTGGGAAGGTCTTTAATCCATCTTCTGGTAAACATTCTAAGCTGGTAGCAAATGGTTATCACCACAGGAAAAACAAGCTTTTTTTTTTTTTTTAATTCCTTCTGCTCATTTGCTCTGGGCACATTACCCTGTTTTTCCTGAGTTCAGATCTTTTGCAATCATGTTGATTTTATCTTGGGTTTATTATTTTCCCTGGTTCCTGAGGTCTGACCTGGGAAGACCGTCCTGATCTAGGAGAGGACGCTCATCACCGCAATCTTCACTTTACCTTTGGATACATTTTTCTACCTGAGATACTAGTGAGTGAAGCAAGGTATGACAAACTCTCTAAAAGCTCTATGGAGAGAGGTACATGGAACTCCCACATAAACCAGCAAGAAACCGCAGAGCCTAGAAGAAAGTCTGAAATTGTGGGGTCCTAGTGAGCTGGATTAGCATCTTTTCAAATTGCCTCTGAAAAGCAAGTATTGTTGATAGAAAACTTTGTAATCCTCAAATGGTTGTAGAAGTGTACAGGCATACTTCGTTTTATTGTTCTTTGCAAACATTGCATTTTTTAAAAATTGAAGGTTTGTGGCAACCTTGCATTGAATAAGTCTATTTTGTGCCATTTTTCCAATAGCCTTTGCTCACTTCATATCTCTGTGTCACATTTTGGTAATTCTCACTACAGACAAAAAAATGTCGCATGTTGCCAGCCATTTCTGTAAACAAGAAATGTTCCCTGCTATCAAGCCATCAGTCACTGCAGCTGCTCCAAGGGTGTACCCCAAGGGGAATTCAGGATAGAGAAAAACAGGATACTGGCCCTCCATAATTAAGATGCATATCTAAGGAGTAATTTTAATGACCCAGAATCTTGTATCTTCGTACACAAAAGGCAGTAAAATCATTAACTTGAGATGTCTGGTTTTTTGTGATTAGCATTAATCTTTTGATGTTTGACTACATGTTTTTTTGTTCTGTTTTTAAGCGAAAACTCCATATCTTGTTTCCTCCCTTACCTCTTTGGAACAGTTCTTCAGAGCTGTCTAACAGGCTCTCCCATGGGCGTTGGTCCTCAGTAAGTTCCTCAAATAAAACATAACTCAGGAGGGGGGTTCCAGAGAGAGGGGACATATGTAAACAAATGCCAATTCATGTTGATGTATGGCAAAAATCATCACAATATTGTGATTATTCTCTAATTTAAAAAAACTCGCAAATTTTAGGCTGTGTTTTCTTTTTTAGTTGATATCACAATTTTCAAGCCTGTGGCTCAGATGGTAAAGCATCTGCCTACAATGTGGGAGACCCAGGTTCGATCCCTGGGTTGGGAAGATCCCCTGGAGAAGGAAATAGCAACCCACTCCAGTACTCTTGCCTGGAAAATTCCATGGATGGAGGAGTGTTGTAGGCTACAGTCCATGGGATCGCAAAGAGTCAGACACAACTGGGCGACTTCACTTGTCACTTGTCATTATTATATTTATTACAGTGATCTATGTTCAATAATCTTTGATGTCATTGTTGCAAAAGATTATGACTTGCCAAATGCTCAGAGAATGGTTAGCATTTTTTAGCAATAAAGTATTTTTAAATTAAGGTATGTGCATTGTTTTTTAGACAATGCTATTGTACACTTCATAGATGATAGTAGGGCTTAAACATAACTTTGATATACAATGGGAAACCAATTTGTGTGACTCACTTTATTGTCATATGTACTTTATTGCAGTGCTCTGGAACCAAATATGCAGTATCTGAGGTTTGTCTGTACCTTTTCCCCTTGTTAGAGATTTCTTAGCTATGTTATTCAGAAGTTAGTTTTGATAACTTTTCTATTTCACAGTGACCCTTATCAAGACAGGCCTTAAATGAAGTAATATTGTAACAACTGGAAAGAAAAGAAAAGAAAACCAACCAACCAACCCCTAAAAACAAAACTGGGGAATGTTTACAGAGGGTTTCCTTCATCTGATGGCTCTTCATGTGTCAGGCCCTGTCTGGTCCAAGGCTAGCTGGCGTCGTCAGGCTGGAAGGCTGACACATGCTGTCTTAGGCAAATTGGGCTCAGCCTTGGGCCTCCTTTCAGGGAGCCTCACCATCTCTCTGCTCTGCAGATCCCCTGACCCTCCAGGGTGTGTGGCCTGTTCTCCCAATTAGGAGACCTCTGAATGCAGGGTGCAGCATGACTGTCTTTGTCCCTTCGGAGCTGAGCTCAGGTCTGGCACAAGGCAGTAGTCCCTCGATTACTGCTGAACGATGGTCAGCAGTTGTCCTTGACCTGAACTTATAAATATGGTCTGGGAAGCTGGTGGTGGTTTTATTCATCATGTCTGACTCTTGTGACCCATGGACTGTAGCCCGCCAGGCTTCTCTGTCCATGGGATTTTCTAGGCAAGAATACCGGAGTGGGTTGCCATTTCCTTCTCCAGGGGATCTTCCCAACCCAAGGACTGAACCCAGGTCTCCTGCACTGCAGGCAGATTCTTTATCGTCTGAGCCACCAGGGAAGCCCTCTGGGTAGCTATTTCACTATTTCACTGGGGAACCCTTTTTGACTAGTTCTCTACCGTCTCCTAGACCTGTTGCATCCCCCTGAGCCCTGGAAGATTCCCGAGGTGCTCCTGAAGCTAGAACTCTGCAATTCAGGGTGACCCTGACGCTTACTGTCCAGGCTGCCCACAGACCTCCTCCTCTGTGCCCGACAGCTGTTGCTGTCCTCAGGCCCCACACCAATCCCAAGGATGTGCATGGAAAGGAAGGAGTCATGTCAGCATCAAGAGTGGTGGGCTGTGGTTCAGCATTAGCTCCTCTACCAAACTTGGCCACATGTACTGTAGGACAAAAGTTTCAGAGGTCAGAGCAGAGGGTCAGGGTAGACACACACAAGTGAAAAAAAAAAAGCTTGGGCCTAACTCCTTTGGTTCCATGTAGCTACACCTTTATTGAGTACCTAGGAAACTCTGCTAACAAAGGAGAGGGGAAACTGTGGCACACCTCCCCTGGGTATCTCTGCACTTGCCTCTGTGATCATGGCGCCAGGTTGGGACAATCCTGGTGTGGGGTTCACCCTGAACAGTGGACTCAAATGGCGCAGCTGCTCCCAAGCTCTGTTCTTTATGGGTGCTGGTGAGGAGCTGCTGTATGCGGCAAAGTTGGAATCTCACTCATATTGACTTTCTAGTTTTGGGAAACTTTATAGTTTTTCCCTTTAAATCCATAATCCATGGGCCCCATGGGGAGAATCTGGTCTTGTTTGCTGTTTTGGACAGACACCTCACATGACTGCTGTAAACTGTTGCGTAATTTTTGCAAAGGCCTTCTTGTTCATTCTAGAATTTTTCCATCAGTTGGCAGACCCAAATTGTTCTGGATTTTACCCCAGGGAATTCAAAGCCCTTTCTCCTCAAACAGTTTTTCCCGGTGGCGGCCCTTTGATGGGAGTATTGACGCACACCCAGAGAGGGCAGGAGGCATACGAATGTCCGAGGAGAGCGGTGATGGGCAAAGCATGGTCTTCCCAAGCTGTTGCTGGCAGTCCCTCGATATCTCCTGGCCTCTCACCCACCCTGGAAGCATCCTTTCAGTGTCATATGGGTCACCTCCTCAATGTGATACAATCCACATGCTTCTTGCAGCGAGCTCCTTATAAGAATCCCTTCAGGTGTTCAGGTGAAGTTCAGAGTGAGTGCCGCTGAGAAGATGGGCCACTGATGCTCTATTCTTCGTCTGACCTCTGCCGGCAGGGCACTGAGCTATGCGAGGCTCATGGAGTGACATCAGAGGCTTGAGGACATCAGAGTCTTTACCTGGCACCCCATCACGGTAAAGTGACAGCTGGGGACACTGTACGTCCCATGCCCGCTGGCAGTTCTTGCTTTTCCCAGCAGAGTTTCTGAGTGGCGGCATGAGGTGAGGGTGGATAGGGTCTAGTGGTTCACGTGTTTGATGAGGATAATGGCTTGTGGTTCTGCAGTAGCTCTGGGCCAGGCACTGGAAAAGCAGATGGAGTCCACGCTCTGGAAGCAAGACCGTGTTCTGCTCCCCTAAGTTGGAGATGTGTGGCATGAACAGGACTGGCCATGCCATCTATTTCCTTAACTGGGCTCAGGTCACAGCTTCAGGGCTGCTCAAAGCCCAGGCCCGTCTCACATGCAGACCCCATCCAGCAAGTTCCTGGGTCCTCAGGCTTAGGACTGGGCCCCCAGAGTGCTCAGCTTGGAGTCAAGGGCCAGGGGCTCATGCTACCTAGGCAGGTGGACAGGCAGAAGCACAGATGCTGGATTCCTCGGCCGTGTGACCAATCTGGGTGACCAATCAGGGCCTGGCCGCCGGCACTCCGTGTGCACTGGCTGCTGGGGGCTTCGGAAGAGGCAGGCACTGGTGGGCTACTTGGCCTCCACCAGCTGCTCCAGGCGCTGTAGCATTGTCAGACGCAGGGCTTGGAACCTGGAGGGAGACACAGCCGAGAGGACACACTGGTACCAGAGGGGACAGGGAGCGAGGATCGCAGCAAAGGAGCCCAGAGATGCTGGGCCTGGAGACCCATGGCTCCTGACCGGCTGATTAGCGGCCACCATCTCTCCTCTGCCAAGGAGAAGGAAGAGCCAGGATCCGCATCCTGCGAGGCCACTGGCTTCGAGGAGCAGTCACACAGAGTTGCAGACTCTGTCAAGCTTCACAGGAGAATGCTCTTTCTATTCCAAAGATTCTCCAGTATGGACAGGAGTGTGCTGGATTAGACAGGATGGCAGAGGGGGGTCAGGAAGCCTGTGTTCGAGCCCTGACTCTCCAGTCATGTGGTGTGGACTCCTTCCTCATCTCGGGCCACTCTTCCCTCTCAGCACACCGAGCAGACCCAGACCAGGCGACCCCCAGGTCCTTTCTCGCTGCTATGACACAGTTCCTGCTGATGAGGTCTCTGCTGACTGCCTGAGTGGGGCCTGACTGTACACATAGAAGCCTTTTTAAGAACCATTCAGCCAGAAGCCAGGATATACACAGTCCCCCGACAGCAGATTGTCACAGTGAGCGGCCTCCCTCCTTCCCATCCTAAGAGGGACTCTGGGACTGAGTTTCCCTTGCAGAGGGAGAGACAGACCATTGGGGTTTGTGACCTGACCTCACACAGCCAGGTCCTGCCGGAGCTTTTTCCCCTAGAAGCCAGCAGGTGACACCCACTCACCTGCCCATTGAACTGGTCCACTGCACTTGCAACCATCAGCGGATACAGGCAATCCCAATAACTACTGCTTTGGCGCAGGCTCAGCACTCCCGCTAGTGTGAACGGGCACTTCTCAGACCAGGCTGAATGTGCACGGGCAGGCCCCCTCGGCGGCACCTCTAGGGCAGCATCTCCAGTAGAACGCTCAGCCCTGGGCCAGGGCCTGCCCGTGCTGTTGCCCGACTCTCCTGCCCAGTTTTCAGCAGCTTGTGTCCGTCTCGTGACAGTCAGGCTGCCAAGGCTCGATGGGCGGCCTGGGCTGCAGGCCCCCATTTTGGAAGGCTGTCACCCCAGTCTGGTATCACTGTGGAGCAAGGGGCCAGAGGGAGGTCCTGGGGAGCTAGGGTTAGCAGGCATCCCTGAACTGCGTGAGGACATCTGGCACAACTGGAGGGAGAGCTCTCCCAGCCCTGGGCCTGATGCTCTGACTGCAGGCTTGCCCTGATGTTCCAGACCCACCACTGGCTATTTAAGTGCTGCTTACTTCATGGTCAGTTTGATTATTTCTCTTTCCTCCTCTTCTTTTAATTTTTCAACAAAACTGTCCAGCACCGGCATTTCAAACTTAATGTACTGAGCGACCTAGAAAATCCAAGAACATTTTAATGTGCTTTAAATTAGAGGCCAAAAATGTTTTCTTTTCCTTGTGGCCAATTCAGCGGGATCTTGTCTCCAAGGAAGAGGCTGCCCGTCTTCTTCCCACCCCCCAACACAGCTCTGTGTATACCAGGATGGGAGGATGGAGCCCATTCCGACCCCAAAGGCAACTGTGATCCCTGGGAGGAAAGATTAAACTGAATTTTAGGAAGACCATTCAGTAGTGAGTGGAGTCATTCTGCGTATTCTCTGGGGTTGGGGTGGAGATGGTGGGAATGCCATTGTTTCTAACAATGGAATGAAACTCACTAGTCTGCAAATGGCCCCAGGGACACAGGGTCACAGGCCTTCTTCTTGGGGTCCACACCCTATAGGCCTATTCTGTGTAGCAGAGTTTGGAAATGTGCTCATCGCCCATTCAGGACTCAAGATGTCCTGAGAAACTTGGTCCGTTCCATAAAGTGCGGTTAGACCCTAGGTAAGGAGCTTTTGCTGTTTTTTTTTTTTTTTTTAATGTAAATAACAACAAACACACTCCAATGAAGGAAAAGACTCTATCTGTCTGGAAAGAATGGAAAAGGCCAGGCCATGGTTTTCTAAGACCCACCTTCTTATTTCCCTGAGCCAGCTGATGGATCTGGTGGTGGCTGATAGGAACAAGATGGGATGAAACCATCAAGATGGGATGGACCTTTGTGATGGCCATGGGGGGCCCTGGAAGCAATGCCCAAGGGGGCTCTGCCCAAGGTCACAGGAGTCCGCCATGCTGTCCCCCAGCCCCTCCCTCAGGAGAGGCCTCGAGATGCCTCAACCCCACTCACATCGTGGGGGACCTCCTCGCCCAAGTCAGCTTCCATCAGGAATATCCTGGCGATCTTCTCACAGGGCCCATGTAGGATTCTGGAAATCAGTGGGTACTCACAGTCTTTTAATTTTGTCCGCTCTGAAAAAGAACGTGGTAGACAAAATTCATGGGACAGTAGGACCGTGTCTCTTTGTTCCAGGATGGGAATGGGATGGAAGACAGATGTCCAGGGGCCCCGGCAATGCTGCCAGATGTTATGGGATGGACACTGCCTTGATGATGTGGATTGTGTCCTTCAGCAAAGGCCCCGCTCAGAGAGGAACAGTGGCTGGAGGAGCAGGGCATGGGAAGTGGACTTGGGGAGGCCAGGCCATGCAGCGCTGGACAGAGGGCTGTGTGGTACAAGCTCTGCAACAACAGTTCTCAGTGGGTGAGGGGCTTCTCATCCATCCTGAAAACCCAGAAGCAAAGCCCTCCCTACCCATCACTGAACTTACTGGAGAGATCGGTTCACCATGTGGTTCTGGTGGGATGAAAGGGATGACAAGTGTGCCTGGATATAAGCCTGGGAGGGTTACTCGTGGTGTGGGCACAGTGTGTCCCAAGGCCAGGAGGGCACCTGCCCGCTGCACAAGCCAGCTCAGCCCTCAGAGAAGGAGCTCAGTCGGTGAGCTTGCCAAATGGATGGGGACTTTAGTTTTTATGATCAGGAATCAAAGGCAGACACTTACCCCCAGACTCATGAACGATGTAGAGTGCAAACTCACTGGGGCCATTTTCCACCTGCACAGGTAGTGACAGGAAGTCAGACCATGGCTTTTCAAGACAGGAGAGAGAGAAAAGGACCCCTGGCAGTAACCACATCTCCAATGCCCCCCACACAAATCCCCAGGGGCCCTCCTCTCCCCTCTCTATGCTTAAATTCCCAGAGCATTTCTCCTGCCAGCTCAGCAGAGGAAACCTCGCTCAGCCTTCTACTAGGAGCCATGGCTTTTGCCAGCCCCCTCCCCAACAAAACTGCAAACCACCAGCATCTGGGGCGAGGTTGCCCACGGCCAGACTTACGCGGAACTTGTTCAGCAGCAGAGTGAGCACCTGCAGGGTCGTCATGGTGCTGTTGACTCTCACGTTGGTCATGGACCCATAGGCAGGAGTGAACACGGAGGTCTGCACAGGAAGGGGGAGGCGGTTCAGGGTGAGGCCAGAGGGGACACAGGGCTGACAGCAGGCAGAGTGTGGGCATGCTGTCAGCCAGCTGGCACTGAGCAGCCTGGGACAGCAGGCGAACCTGAGCTCTGCAATCACCTGTGTCTGTCCATCCACACAGATCCACACACGAGCTGCGCCCAGATCCAGGCATGAGCAGGGAAGCTTTGACAGCTCACATCCTACAGAGGCCTCTAAGAAAGATGCCTGCAGATCTATAAGAGCCAGATTCTTTTTTCTAGGAACCAGGGCCATGGGAAGCTTGGTGTGCTGCAGTGCATGGGGTCGCAAAGAATTGTACATAACTGAGTGACTGAACAATAACAAGGGCCATGAGACTCATTCACAAGGGGTTGGGGAACGAGCCTCTCTACTCTGTCTAGAATCAAATCACCACGTGTCTGCTGATTCTAAGGCTAAAGGTTCTCAGATCTGTCCACTTTGCTCTACTCTCCCAGCTTGCCTGCAGTGAGGCCCTCTGTTTACACTGCATCAGCTTCCCAACTTTTCCCTTCCAGTCTCAGCCCTTTCAATCCATTTTCCACCCTATTGCCCAAAGGAACAACCTTTCAAACATTTTGCAACTCAAAGTGTGTTCTGGACCAGCTGTGTCAGTATACAGTCTCAGGTCCCCTGGTGCAGACTCCCGGATCAACATCCGCATTTGAGGAAAACATCCTGTGATGCTATTTGTAGGGTAAACTTTGAGCAGTACTGTATCACAGCACGTGCTACAGCCTAGACAGTGACGTCTGCAGCTCCTCCCACATTGTGCACATGTGACACATGGTTCCCTCCCAAGCATCCCATGCTCCAGCCACACTGCTTCTGCACAGTTTTGGGGGCCTGTGATATTCTTGCAGGTATCCCGCCTTTGTTCATGAGACACTATACATGAAGTCAACCAGGGAATTTCCAGGGAATAAGCTTAAAGCTTATTAAGCCCTTAATGATCACTAATCAGGTAATAAACCTGCTAACTACTTTATATATACTTTGATTTAATCCTCACAACAGTCCTTAGGAGTACATGGAGCTTGGGGAAGTTAGTAGCTCATCAGAGTCACCCATCTAGAAAGGGCAGAGCTGCCCCAAGCCCCATCTTCACCAGCATAAGGCACAGGATCCTCCCTTCGTATCTGACTTCCCTGTGGGCAAGCTCCTCCTTGTTTTCTTTTTTTTTTTAACCTTTGTGTCTTGTGATTTATACCATGATTTCATATGTACTATAACTTTTAATCTACTCAATAACCTTCAAAATTAGTTTTGATATCTTAAGTACTGTAACTAGTTGGCTAAAATATAGTTTTATTGTAGCAAGTTTAACGACCATTGAGAAACAAAAAGAATAAATTTGAAATGATCTGTAATTCAACTATCAAGTGATAACTGTTGTTAAAACTTTAATGTTCCATTCTTATCTTTATACCTATAAAGACATGTTTTTATAAAAATGGAATCATGTTGCACATAATCTGCGAACATAATATAAATGTATCATGAATATGTTTTTGTGTCATTAAGTGTATTCCTCTTAAACCATGATCTTAATCCTTTGTAATTGGACCTCTTGAAGAATCTAATGAAAGCTATGTTCCCTAAGTCCCAGAAAAAGCAGCTATACAAATATCCAAGTAATATGTATCAGTTAACGAAAGGAGGAGGGTTTAGGATTCCTCCTTGCTTTCTGAAACCAAATTCCAGTTTACACATTCCTCCTGCATGGTCCTAGCCCTGCTTTTCGCAGGATGTTCTGGGGCTCAGGGTACATGAGGGCTTTGTTCAGTGTCCCCAGCTGATCTCCAAGTACTAGAGCCAGCCTCAAACCCAAACCTGCTTTCTCCACAGTTGAGATGTAGAATGACTCTGGGTGATACAGAAAGTCCAACTAGACTTTCGGTTTCTAAGAAATATGAAACAGAGGAGTCAGGCTATCTCTAGGAGAAGAAAGGTCATGTCAACAAGACACAGTGTTTCTTCAGCCTGAACTCTTTTCTCAAGAGAGACCGACCAGCTCCAAGTAGGAACAGAAGTCCTGTGGCTCTTTTCCTGTCTCTAACCACAGTGGTTTCTCCCTCATAGAACACACTTGAGTCCGACAGGCAAAGAACTGAAAACAGGTACCAAGTTTACCCACTCTGGAAATCAAGCCAACAGTACTGTGAGTAAGAACTGTTTTAGAAAATAATTAAGTGGAGCAATAGTGTACAGTTCTAAGAAATAAAACCTGGAATAACAACTCCAGGAAGTTAATTCTAGGAATTTATTATTATTTTTTAATTGTTGTCTGTGACTCAAGTACTTTGTTACCTGATTTCCAAGGACACTGATTCTGAATGGATGTGGAGTGAGGAGAAAAAGAGGGAGCCCCTTGCTCCTCCAGGAGATGTGAATCAGCTGTCCAACATGCCTAAGACACTAGTTCATGTCCCAGAAGGTACCCAGTTTGCCTGGAAGAATGGATCCAGGTTTTGCAGGTAAATCTGTGACTTGGGGTAAAGCCACCCTGGCTGGTGTGTCGAGTGTAGGACTGGCTGGCTAAGAAGCCCTTCTTGGCAGGATGGTACCACGGGATGTGAAAGACTGTGATGAAAGCCCTGACTGTTCACTTCGGTTCATTTCAAAGGCTACAGGGTGTTCAGACTTCTTGTCCCTGTGACGTTTGCAACGACTAATGTAAGGTTTAAAGTGCCCAACACACCTCTTAGAGGAGAGGTGAATGTACTGAAGATAAAGCCCACGATTCAGTACCCTGAGTCATAAAAACCTCCTTTTTTTTTTTTAGGAATGTAGAATTAGAATGAGCCTAAATCCATGCAAAGAATCTTTCTAAATTTTCAAATAATCTCTTAAAATAGCATATCAATATTTATTCAAATATTAGCAAATGGTGCTTACTTAACACTTTGCAGACTAAACCCCTTTGGAGCAGTATTTAAAGAATACCCAAGTCAGGGACTTCCCTGGCAGTCCAGTGTTTAAGACTTTGCCTTCCACTACAAGGGGCCGGGTTTGACCCCTGGGCAGACAACTAAGATCCCACATGCCTTGTGGCCAAAAAACACCAAACATAAAACAGAAGCAATATGGCAGCAAATTCAAAAAAGACTAAAAATGGTCCACGTTGAAAAAAAAAAAGAATACACAAGTTAGATGGCTGGTCCTTTGGCTAATCCAGACATTCTTAATCTCTGTTTAACTTCAGCCCTGCCTTCCCCTCCCCCTCTGAGGACACTGCTCTCAGATACTCCTGGTTTTCCTAGATTTGGACTTCCCTTGGTGGCTCAGATGGTAAAGAAACTGCCTGCAGTGCAGGAGACCTGGGTTTAATCCCTGGGCCATGAAGATCTCTTGGAGAAGGAAATGGCTGCCCACTCCAGTATTTTTGCCTGGTAAATCACATGGACAGAGAAGCCTGGCAGAGTATAGTCCATGGGGTCACAAAGAGTTGGACATGACTGAGTGACTCACGCATTCACCCTCCTAGATTCAGTGAAGATAACCTATTGTTCCTCATTAACACTCACTGCAAACCTAGTGTGGAGTGGAGGGAGGTCCTGATGATGGAGCAGGGTCCCTTCAGCCTGCCTTGTTGAATTCTTCATACCCAAGTGCAGGGTACCCCAAGAGAAGCTTGAATGGCTTTGAGCAGACCTCAGACCTCACTTATGTGACTGTGCTTTAGATCTGACCCAAGACAGATCTAAAGACAGCTCCCCCCATCCCATGAGTCACCCACCACCTATCAGGAAGGGCAGCTGCTGAGCCTGGAAACCCCGGCTTCCAGCTTCCCAGCCCTGCAGGATGTGTTCTATGACAGGACGCTCCATTCAGGGCCTCACCCACACTGCCATGTGTGCCATTTATAGTAACAATCCACTTCTCCTTTTTACAGTTGGGTTTGTTTATGGAATGATGTCATCAGGGGAAGGAGATCTTTTTTTCCTGAGGTCAGTACAATACATACTTGGACAAAAGGCTAGGACAAAAGGCTGAGTGCTGGGAATCAGGAGCTGTGAGCGTTCTCTGGGACCCATCACACCTACTCCAGGGCACACCTCGACCTAGCTGGCTTAAGTGACATGGCAGTAGGGGACATGACATTCCCATGAAACAATGAACTGACCTTGGGTAGAAACCTTATAGAAAATTGACTTGTTAAAGACAAATTTAGCATCACTCTCCAAATATTCATGCAATTTGTGAGAATGAATTTACAGTGACCGTGTGATGCAAAAAATACAAGCTTTGTGGTCATGAACTGAAATGTTATTTGGGGCAAGACAATTGTCCTCCTGAGCCTGTTTCTCCATCAGGACACAGGCACAGCCCCACCTGTATACCAGGGCTGTGTATGCATGCTAAGTTGCTTCAGTTGTGTCTGACTCTTTGCGACCCCTTGGACTGTAGCCCCCCAGGCTTCTGTGTCCATGGGATTTCCCAGGCAAGAATACTGGAGTGGGCTGCCATGCTCTCCTCCAGGGGATATTCCTGACCCAGGGATCCAGCCTGCGTCTCTTACGTCTTCTGCATTGGCAGGTGGATTCTTTACCATCAGCACCACCTGGGAAGCCCACCAGGGCTTTGCTGAGGGTGAATTCAGGGATGACCCCTTGAGGGGCCCCCACTCCAGAAGGCCCAACGACTGCATGGTGCTTGGGGCTGGTTCCCTATGCCTCAGCTTCAGGGCCCAGGGGAGAGGCCAGACTGGGACTTCACCTTGTGGTTGTAAAAGTGCCCATTGATGGAGAAGCGGTGTCGCCGGATCCTCTGGGCCTCACCGGGCGCTCGGCTCCTGGGCCGCCTCTGGATCACACAGGCTGCATCACTCTTGGTCCGCATCAGCTGTGGGGTCTCCTCCTCCTCCTCCACTGGCTCTGTGGCGAGAATGGACAAGGGGGTCAGGCTCAGGGCAGGGGGGTGCCTCAGCGACAGAACAGCCTCCGTGGTGGTGCTGCGTGCGACGTGTGGCTCCCTGGCACGCTGGGATGCAGGAGACAGCAGTGTGAACGCTGTTCCTGGGATGGAGGCTGGGGTCCAGCCAGTGTGATACCCATTTTGCAGACAGGGAAGGTGACCCCAGACAGGATAACCTGTGTCACCACACCACGTGGCCATAGCCTCTGGGCCTCCAGCTCCAGGAACCCAGAGCAGGACTTTGACAGCCCCAGCCCTGCTCTCTGGGACAAGCCCTTCACTGAGTCCAAGAGGAGGGTGCAGAGAGGACAGACACCCAGGTATGGATCCTGGCAGGTGGGGAAGAGGGCCCAGAGGCCTGCAGGGCCAGGTGAGAGCCGTGTTCTCTGCAGACGCTCTCCTTTTCAGAAGGCAGCACGTTGTAGGGACTCAGACAACCACATCACCTCTGGAAGCCTCCACTTCCTTGTCCTTGGGTGAGAAGTCAGTAAGAATGCTGCGGGCTAAGGAGAGATTTAGCAGGGGCTGGGCTTCCCTGGTGGCTCACTGGTAAAGAATCTGCCTGCAGTGCAGGAATTATAGATGTGGGTTTTAGCCCTGGGTCAGGAAGATCCCTTGGAGAAGGGAATGGCAACCCACTCCAGAATTCTACGGACAGAGGAGCCTGGCAGGTTACAGTCCATAGTGTCGCAGAGTCGAACATGACCAAAGCAACTTAGCACACACGCTCTTGAAGGCAAACAAAGCCACTCTTTGCTACTCCACAGAGCTGACCTCCAGAGGTGGCAGTCATGAGCCAGCCCCACCACCACCCCAGAGAAGTGAGACTGGGTCCTGGGCTGCTCGAGGCCCCACCGACCTGAGCTGTCTCTGGAACTCTCCTCCCGGGGCCCAGCCTGAGCGCTGGGTTCCTGGGCAGTGACTCTGCCATCTTGAACAGGTAGCTCCTTCCTGAAAAGAGACAATCATGATGCTCAGAGGGCTGCTGGCAGAGAAAGGGAGCTCAGATCAAAGAAAAGGAGGCTGGCTGCCTCTGTGGGCCAGACACAGGCCAGAAGCAGGACAGGCCGAGTTGAGGCCAGGATTTCACACATGGTCAATGTAAAAGATGAAAAGAAAAGCAAAAGATTGCCAGTGTCTGCTGGAAGGAGAGGGAGTCTGTCCTGCAGACCTGAGTGGCCTGGGGTAGGACAGAGGAACACACACGGTAATCATGCTGGGCGCCAGGCCGAGGCGGTTGGCTTCCGTGGCTACATGCCGAGTGGGCTCTCTGGGCTGCCCTGGGCCTGGGGGAGTAGGGCAGCAGCATCCTTGAGTGGCCTAACCTCCAGGCCTCTGAGAAAGGTGGACTCCAAGCCAGGGTGGCCAGGGCTGGACTGGAGGAGGGATGGGCGTAATGGGAAGTAGCCACACCGAGAAAGGGAATGTGGGAGGAGTAGACAGAGGAGCCAGCACTGAGGGGCCTCTGAGGGTCCTTGTCTGAGACTGTTCGTGTGACCACTTTTACCCTCTTTTCTAAGGAGCCCATCCAAACGCGAAGCTCTAAGGCTCAAAATCCACTCTGAGTAACTAGGGACACCTGGAGATACACCACAGGCGTCAACGTGCAAAGGGCCATGAGAGCAGCAACTTTACTTGAATTTTTGAAGGGGAAAATGTTTTGAGTTTCTGACTCTTAGAAGGATTTATTACGTGTAGAAGCAAGCATAACTCAGCAGCTTACTGCCCGTCTTTGGGTGTGAAGTGGGAAGAGGCAAACATCTGTTAAGACAGGTAGAAAACCATTTTATCCTGATCAAAATGTTCTTAATATATTCAAATAAATCTAATATAAATAAATTCTGATAAATTTGTAAAAATAAATTCTGATATTGAAATAAAAGCAGAGCCATTGGAGGCTAAACTTCTGTGTTTTAGGATAGAACAGGAGATGCTGAGAGGCTTGGCTTGCAGGCAGTGTTGGGGAGCCTCTTTCTCTTACAGACAAGGAATGTTTGAGAAGCACAAGTGGAGGGGAGGGCAGCCTGGATCGCTCTCCAGGAGCGAGGGTGACTTGGTTGTCATGGAGAAGAACCACTTGGGGATGAGGCTTCAGGTTGGCAGCTGAGGTCCTGAGCTGAGGCAGTCAAGGGGTGACAGGAGTGACCGGGTTGAGGGTGGGTTACCCTCCCACCTCCCGCCCCAAACAGAAATGGGGCTTCCACGCAGAGGCAGAGATCAACCTCCTGGCCCCACACACTCCAAGCAGCACTTTCAGGTTGTCATGGAGACCAACTGGCCCCGCCCCACCCAGTGGGTCACTCACGAATGGCAGCTGGACTGTCCGGTTGTCCAGGAGAGGTGCACGCGCTCCCTGTCATCCTGTATCTGGAGCCGGATGGGCCGCTTCAGTCCCCAGGAGATGTTGAGGAGCCCCTCGATGATCAGAGCCCCTTCTTCCTGTGGGGACCCACATGCTTAGCCTGTCCTCTCAGAGCAGCTGCATTCAGGGGTCACTGACCACCCTCACACCCCCCTCAGAAGTCAGCCCCGGCCCAGGGGACTCCCCAGTGCACTCAGGCCCCCAAATGCAGCCTCTTATCCCTGGGGTCCCGTCTTCCTCTAGGGGAAGGCCCACGGATTTCTCTGTGCTCTAAGGCACGAGGCCCGGGCTGGAGAGGAAGCCTGAGGCGTGCCCTTCCACCGCTCGGGCGCAGGGGCTGGGACAGGGCGCTGAGTCAGGTATCCCACAGGAACGCAGCTGCTGTCCGGCAGGCACGTCCACACAGGGCAAGGAAGCATGCTCCAGGGAAGCACAGCTGTGCAGACACCGGTGCAACACAGGGTGGCTCTCCGCCCAGCGCTGTGCCTGCTCAGGGGGCCCACGGTCACCTGGCCCTTCTGGGAATGTGCCAAGGGCACTGGATCCCATGCTCACTAGAACTGAGCGGGACTAGCATGGTCCCCACCACCAGATTTCCAAGCTGGCCTCTTTCCTGAGGGCCAATCTTGCCTTCCTCACCACCTGGGATATGGCCAGTCCCACATCCCACCAGTGGCACACACACTCAGAGTGTCTACAACAGCTCCTAGCCTGCATCCCTGACCAGCCCCAATTCTCCAAGGTCTGCAGATGGCACGGCCACTCACCTGCTGCCAAACCCTGAGGTCCTAATCAACAGAGTCCTCCAGAAGCACTCTCAGTCAGCTCCTACTTGCTCCCCTTGGGTCCTTGATTCTGTTTCTTGACCTATTTCAGGTTTCTGTCTGCACACAACCACCTCCAACTTCCCTGTGCCAAGCTAATCAAGCCCACACATGCTCCTGGCCAGGCTGCTTTGTCTGTACCCTCAGAGCATCTGCCAGAAACCTTATTTGCCTCACCCTTCAGCAGAGTCAGATCTCCCCAGCTACATGCTCCTAATCTGCTCTGATACTGGTCTTTCGGCAATAAACTTAAAACATCATTCTCCCAGTGCTATCTCAAGCACCATTCTATTATAGATTCATCAAAGCCATTTCTTTCTCCTTGTTAGCACTGAAAACTGTGAGAACAGGGACCTTGTGGAAGTCTCATATCCCTGGCAACACTTATAGGGGTGTCCTGCAGTATTGATTTCATGGTTAGTTTGTAATAGTTTAAAAACACCCTGCCATCCACAAAGAAAATAGTTCTCTTCTGTTCAAGGTTATCAAAAATACACATAGCTTTCTGGAATGGCTTTGCACCATCTGCTAAAAAGAAAACAGGTAACAACAACAACAAAAGAAACACCCAGAGTCACTGATAAACACTGATGCTACACAGGCACAAACAGGTAACTATCTGTAAAGTAAAGACTTGATGGATTCAATGAGTTAAAGGTCCCGTGAGGATAATAAGAAAACCCAAAGTGGGTGGTGAAGGAGGTCCCACTCCTCTGCTGTGGGTTTCCTCTGATAAGATCAGAGAAAGCTGCAGGCTGAGAGGGTGTTCCTTCCATCCAGGGTAGGGGAGCTCAGACTGGGGGCACCCCCGCTGTCTTTTCAGGGACACCAGACATGAGTCGCACAAGGCAGCTGGTCCCCAGCATGGCTTAGCCCTAACCTCAGAAGCAGCAGCTCTGCCCCAACCCCTCGCTTCCCCAGAGCAAGCCCCACCTCTTTCTTCACAGTGGGGTCCCCAGAGCTGTCTTTGAAGGCCTGGCCTCAGCATGTCCAGCCTCATGGACCCCACCTCAGCCTTGCCCCAGAGCATCAGCTTGTCTGCGGCTGTTTTTTTTTCATGTTCCTCCACCCAGAGTCCACCGTGGGGGAGGTATCAATGGATAATCATGTCTGCAAGTGGACATGAGATGTTCCTGGTGGAGCGGAGGCTCTCTCCAGCAATGTGTCAACATCTGACAGTGGTGTCTGAAGCCAAGTCTGAAAGCCAAGACCTGAACCGCATTTTGGGTGAAGGACGTAACGACTCGTTCATTGCTACGTTCTCTGTACCTAGAATAGTCACTGGTGCAGAGGAGTACTAGTTAGATACCCAGGAACAAATACACAAGCCAGTTCTCATCTGATAGCTCCTCCTCTGTGAAGCGGCAAGACCAGGACCCCTCAGGCTGCCTCTGGTCCCAAGGACCAGAGGAAGGTGGGCATAGCCCAAGTCTCAGCAAGCCCAGGAAGCCCAGCCTGGGCCACCTCCAGGCTGAGTTCTGCATTGCTGTGTCTGATGGGGTCCCTTGCAGGTGCAGGCTGGGGGCTCAGCCAGAGTGATGTGGGATGTCGGCGTGCTGGTGTAAGATGTATCGAAGGATGCTTCCAGGCAGAGATGGCAGAGTCTAGGGCTGCTGTGGAAGTCCACTGGAGGCCCCTGCCCCTCCCAGTGCCCTGAGATGGCCAGGAGCTGCGGCTACCCCACCCCTGCCCTGCGGAGTAAACATTCCCAGAACCTCCCAGGAGTGCAAACACTTGCTCCGAGCTGGCAGCTGGGCCAGACCCCGCCCAGCCAAGCTGTTTTCCTCTGAGAGCCTTCCTGAGTGCTGCTATTTTTGGCCCTGTGTGACAGTAATTGATTGCTGGTGGAAAGGTATAAAAGCAGTGGCCAGGCCCCAAGGTTTGCCAGACAGCTCAGGGAGGCTTTCACTCTGGATAGCAGCACAGTGGACAGAGGCCTGGCATATCGTCCTTGTTGTCCTTCTCGCAGCAATCTGGCTCCGGACACCGGCTCCAACTCCTCGACCCTGAGCCCTTGGCCCTGAGTTTCCTGGGTGCTTCCTGAGGACTTCCTTGCTCATCCATCTCCCCTGATACCCCCAGACTTTCTCAGCTACAGGTAAGGGAGGGCTGATGCTCTCTGGTTTGAGGTAAAACAAAAATGCACTGGGTATGTTGGAGGGCAGTTCTCAGCCTGGGACGTGCCCTGCCTCCCTGTGGGTTAAAGACCAGGATGCAGCTAAGAGTGGTGACGACAGCTGCAGAGGGGCTTCATGTCCATAGAGGCGTTGCCCCTGAGGAAAACGTTCCATGTGTTTTCCCAACACCCTTGAGAGCTGTATTTATAACCCTATTTTATGGAGAAGTGGAGGCTTGGAGAGGTGACTTTTCCAAAGAAGCTTGGTCTTTAAACCCAGGTTTGGTTTTTAAACCCAGGTTTCCTCGGACTCCCGTCCATGAAGCTGGGCTCTCTGATTGGTATAGGTTCTTGAACCACAGTAATATTAAGAGTCTTAAGTGATGTTAGCAGAAAGAGCCCAGGAGTTCGAGCCTGGTCTTGGATCTGCAGACTTTAAATTGCTCTCAGGCTTCTGATTCTCCCAGGGGACCTCAGATGGGGGAGGGGACATGGGAGGGGTGTCAGGATGGCCAGCGGTCCCTCACCCCGAGTCCTCTGTCAACCAACAGGTCGCTGCCTCCCTGTCACCGGCAGCCATGAGGTCCCGGCTTTTGCTTTCTGTGGCCCTCCTGCCCACAATTCGGGAGACCTCGGAGGAGATGCTACCCGGAGGGGCTGGAGAGGAACCCCCCGCCTCCCCCAGCCTGGATGACTACGTGAGGTCCATTTGTCAGTTGGCACAGCCCACCTCAGTGCTGGATGAGGCTGCAGCGAGGGTGCGAACCAGCAGACCCCACCGGCCAGCCCGTTCCTGTGCGAAGAGCTGCCCCACTGGGTCTCTACAGGACATCACCACTCGCTTCACTGGCCAGCAGCCCTCCCTGCCTGGGACTGGCACTGTGGACCCCCTGGACTGGCTCTTTGGGGAGTCTCAGGAGAAGCAGCCAAGTAGAAGGGATGTGCCAAGGAGGACTGGACCCTCCGCTGATCCCTGGGCTTCTCGCAGACGGATGGACAGTGGCAAGGCCCCAGCGACCCCCAGAGGGAGGCTGAGTGATGCCAAGGATCCAGGGCACTCCCTGCAGAGAACATCGAGGGACTGGCACCGGTGCTCCCAGGCTTCTGGACAGCCTGGGCAGGATGCGGGCTCCCCCACAAGCCCCCGCCCCAGCAGCATCCTCAGAACTCTCTATTTGCACCTCCCGGTGATCCATGAACTCTGACACCTCCCCAATAAAGACTTCTGTAATCAGCACACAGATCTGCGTCTCCGCCACACCTCCCCTTCCTATCCACCCCCCCCAGTCCAGGTGGGCACTGCCCTGGCAGGTCTCTGGGAGGGAACCACCTCTCTGCAGGGGCTCTCTGCTTTGGCAAGTCCTAGTGAGACCCCATCTTTGAATAACAGCCTGTCCCACTTGTGGTTCTCCTAACTGGCTGATCACCTTCGGCAAGTTATTTAACATGTCTGTTCCTCAGTTTTCTCCTGGATAAGCTGTGATTAATGAGACCTGCCTCCTAGGCTGTGCTAAAACCTGCACACATTTGGGGGCGCAGGTTACGAGCCCACACGTGGAGCAGCTGCTGCCTCTCTGGTGGCCTCACAGGTGGGGAAACAAGGAAGTTTGGGGGAGAAGAGAAACGAAGGTCTTGGCCCCAGTGGTTTCAGAGCCCAGCCCTGGGCACTCCCATGTCCCCCCACGGGACCCATGAGAAAACACAGGGGTTCCGCAAACACAGCTGCTGTGCTTCAGGGTGTCTGTCCCTGGGGCTTCCCAGGTGCCTCAGGGGTCCCACTGCGCAAGTCCTGCTGTGGCCTCAGGAGCATTCCCCCACGCTGATGGCCAAGACAAAACCTGCATCGGTCAGCCTGCAGGGCACTGCTCGCCAGACCACATGGTTCTGTCTCCACTCATTCCCACCCCCCACCGCCTCATCCAGGGGGTGAACGGCAGGGTTTAGGTGCCCCGCTCTTGGGTACGTTCAGGGACCACAGCTTCATTCCACATGTCCATGGGTGCCCCCCCTCCCCGCCCAGCCCTGGGTCTCCACAGCCTGGCAAACCCAGTTCCCAGAGGCGTCTGGCAAGCAAGGGGGTGAGGGTGAGGAGTAGGGGAGGGGGCAGACTGCATTCCTCAGGGAGGAGGTGGGGCATCAGAGCACCGAGGAGACACAGGCCTGAGACCCGCTGCTGGGTTCTCCTGGGCCTGGCCAGGGCTGGCTGCCCTCATCGGGCTGGGAAGGACAGAGGAGCAAAGGATAGAGCTGGGGCCACAGGAGGGCTCACGGCCTGCTTCAGTTTCCCCGACCTCCTTGCTCTGTGGACTAGCAAATTACTTTCCGTCCCTCTCTTTTGCCCTTTCTTTCCTTCAACTTTAAAATATTTACAAAAATCACTTTGGATGCTTACAGTGCTTATCAGTCCTCTTTAATGTGTGTTCTCTGAGGAGGCAGAATGTAAACCATACATTAAAAAAATTATTAGAATGATGATAATTTTAATTTTAAAAGAAAACATTTCAGACAAGTGGTTAGTTTCCTGATCTGTAAAATGGGGACAGCAAGGCCCATCCTTCACATTCTACAGTGATTGGGGAAACAGTACAAGTGAACTTGGAGATGGAATTATGAACACTGTATACAAATTCCCAGCCGTCACTACCTGCTGTGCCTCTGCTTGGCTCAAACCTCTGGGTTTCTGACCTTCTGCAGCAAATATATGTGAAACAGGCATGGGTTGGAACATCCTTAGGAAGTGACGAGGAGGGCTGACCTACTGGGTGGGTGTGTGGCTGGTGATGGAATGTGCTGGGCTCACTGGGCCAGCCTTACAGAGAAGCAGTGGAAACTAGGATGACGTTGCTAATCCCGCAAGCTCAGAAATCACACTGCTGCATTTTGGGAGATCAGACAGGGCCAAGGAGAGCCCTGGGCTCTGGACTTCTCTATTTCCTGGATGTAAAAGGTGCTAATGGCACCTTCAGAAGGTACCCCCTAAAAAGAAAACAGAAAAGAATAAAGGTCTGGGAGAAGTGGTCTCCAGCGGTGTCCCAAGCGCCTGAGGACAGAAGAGCCTAACAAAGTGCTCGTGGTGCGGCCCTAGTGAGCAGCCTCATTCTTCTCCCACCCTCCGCTGAGACAGGGAAGCGAACCAAACGCCCCTCCCACCTGGAGAGGCAGGCTGGAAAGCACCCAACAACTCCCAGGGAACACGGGTGGTCTGTCAACGCCTGTCATTCCTGCCTTCAGGCCTTAGGGGAAGGGGGATCATTCTAAGAGGGAAGGGGACCCCTGGTGGAGGAAGGTCCTTCCCATTCTGAAGCACGCTGCAGTGGCTCAGAGGCTGAGGTCCTACACTGGGTGTGATATGCGCTCAGGCCACCAGGGGGAGCTCTGTATCCATTTAGAGCTGAGCGCTGGGCAAGGTGGGAGGCTGGCTTTGGAAGTTGGCCGCACACCACGCCCAGTGACCCCAGGGCCCTAAGGCCTCTAGCTCATAATGTTAGCAGTGATATAGTTGCCCACTGGCATTTCCTGGTGGTCCATTATTCTCTAGAGGCACCAACCAGCCTGGTTAAAATGTTTTGCTATTTTTCCAAAAGGCTCAGATTGCTCCTGGTTATTCACACTTTTCATTGTAAAACAAGCAGAATTATCCTATCCTAAAGGCAAGGTTTTCAATGAAGGAAGCTAGTGCTTCAGCCTATTGAGCTGGGAATCCTATGCTCCTAGCCCTTTAGAAGCTGGGGGAAAGTTCACAGGGAAACGCTTGCTCCAGGTGCAGCCCCTGCCCATTGACATATTTCATCTCTCCAAGTTCAAGGGACTGCAGATGAGACAGTGGAAGAGAAGGTCCCCCAACCGTAGCAGCCAGGCTGAGGTTGCTCCATGGGTACCCGATGCTGAGCGCCCTCTGCTTAGGTTAGGGATAGAGCCTGGGGAACAAAGGTAATGAACAGCTCTCTGAGTCTCTAAGATCTGGTGAGTCATCCTCAATAGAGACCTCCAAAGCCCTCCAGAGCTTAATGCTGACCATGCTATCACTCTGTTAAACACTTCTCTGCTCAGGTCTTGGAGCCACACCAGCATCTTTGACTTACTTCAGTGTCATCTTGGACCAGAGATTTGAAGAGTCTCGGTTTCTTTGTTGCAAAATGGCCCCTCCTCCCTCATCAAGTTCTAGGACTACAATGAATAGAGTTGAGGTCTAGCTCCTCCTGTCTGTCCTGCCCTTAGGGTCTGCAGGGCCAGGAGAGGCCAGTCTCAGGTGGCCCTGTAGCAAGTTCTGAGGACAGCGAGTCTCTGAGGCCCAGAAGGTCCCAGGTGAGCCATCTGAGGAACTGCAGAGGCCCCGACACTGGGTGGTGGGTGAGTCACTCTGAGACGTGGTGCTCTAGGAACCAGTCATGCATTTCAGTATTAGAACTCCCTGCCTCCCAAGCCAGTGACCTGTCTCGATGGTGGCGGTCACCTCCAAAGACATACACTCCCTCAGGCTGGCACACCTCAATGATTAAAGCTGCAGAAGTTTCATGAAAAGTACTTTTCAGCTCCAAGGAGATCAAGTCAGACCCCCGCACCTGCTTTAGGGTTAGAAAAATGAAAATCTCTGCCTTTGGGATGTTAACCTCCTGCCTCTGGGGAACATCAGGAGCTCCTCTTCCTGATGCAGGGTCCTCTAGTCCTCCACAGGGACTGTCCCATCACACAAACAGGGTTGGGGCTTCCCAGTCCCTCTTCCCACTCAGCTGTTCCTACAGAGGGGAATGTTCTGGGGAATCCCAAGTGCCAAGATCAAGCTCTTAGATCAGCTGTTCTCAAACTTGGCCATCACCAGAATTCCCTGGAGGACTTGTCAAAACAGCTGGGAGGGTGAAAGAGTTTCTGATTCAGCAGGCCCGAGGAAAGGAGGGTGGGAAGAGTCTGCCGGCCCTTCTCAGACACTGATGGGCTGCAGAAAGTCCAAGAGCCAACACGATCTCAACCTTGTGTTCAGTCTCTCTGTCATGTCCAACTCTTTGTGACTGTATGGACTATGGCCTGCCATGTAACTCCTCTGTCCCTGGCATTTTTCAGGTGTGAATGATGGAGTGGATTGCCATTTCCTTGTCCAGGGGATCTCAACCGTGGTAACCCCCAAAATAAAGCTTAATCATGATCATGATAAGACTTCCCATTTGGCCTTTCAAATTATCCCAATATCCTGACTAGGGCTCCCCAGTGAAAGATCTGGAAGTTCTGGATTGTGGTAAGACCACCTCTACTTAATCTGCCTGGTAAGTGGTTCCCTGAGCCTTGGCCATGCTGGTCACTCCCTGGAGTCCAGATGGTGCCCATGGGCTATGTTCAGCTTACAGATGTGCTTTGTTTAGCTCACATAGTGTTTCGAGGTTTGGAAATTCCACATGAAATTCCAGATATTTAGCTTCTTTTGAAAAATCAGGAAGGGTTTGGGTGTCCCAGTCTCATAACTCCATGGAGCCACCCTGGGTTGGATCTGACAGGCAGCAGTGGCCTGCCAGTGGACTGATGTCCTCTTCGATGTCCTCTCTCCCCATGCCCACCCTGCCTTTCACGTTTGGACCTGCCTGGCCCTGTGAGCATCATCTGGGGAGATCTCCTCTACTGCAAGGCTCTCCTCTTGGTTGAAAAGCAGAGTGGCTCTACTTTTATTCCTGGATTGCTGTGAATTTGGGCAAACCAGGGCCCTGTGATGGAGAATGGGCTGAGGAAGGACTGGGCTGGGTGGAATATCAAAGATTTCAAACACCAGAATCCTGACCTTCACTGAGACAAAACTCCCAGGAGGAAGGAGAAGACCCACTTTGTGAAATACATCGGCTCTGCATTCTTTCGGGGATGGTCCGACCCTCAGCACACTTGCAGGGACCTCAAAGGAGATAATTTGGTCCCCAACTCAGAAATAGGAGACCTTACAATTCATTATCGTTACTGGACACTTAAAGTGAAGGAAATATTCTTTCACTTGGTTAAAAGGTATAAAGAATAACCCTTGGTTAACAGATATAAAGCAGTTGCCAAGAAAAGGACTTGCCAAAGTCTTTTTGGCAAGCCAGAATATATGGTGACCTTATGAAAAAGAAGAAAAATGGGCCTTACCTCTCTGTGTCTCAGCTGAAAGCTTCTGCCCTCATGGTAGCAGTTGTAGGTTTTCAGCAGGCTTAAGAGCTCTGACCTAAAAAGGTAAAGACACCCATGTGATCTTGGAATGTGATCGGTCCTTAGATAAGGCATTTGGCTTTGGTGGCCTCAGTTTCCTCATTTGTAAAATGGGCATAATGTACACACTTTGCCAACAGTATATATTCCATTGAGAGGCTATACTTTGCCATCAGACACATGCCTTTTAATCTTCTAGGGAGTTTCACATGCCATCACTCCTAGAAAGCCTGAGGTGGGGCTGAGAAGGAAGCAAAACTCACAGAGGGGCCCAGGTCACATTGTGGTACTTCGAGGGTATTTGCACAATTTCACTCTTATAGATAAGAGTTCCTGACAATCTCTCTATACTTTACTTCTGAGTCACCTCCTCAGAATAAATCACTTGGAATTGGATAATTGGCAGCTTGCTTTTTTCCACCATATGACTTCCTATAAGGGTCTGGGGTGGCTGCTCTGGGAGTCCCACCAGAGATGTCTGTCTCTTCCTCCTCCTGACTTTCTGAATGTGGTCAAGGGATGAGGGTGACAGCTCCAAGAGTAAGATCCTGAAGGCCCCAGGAAGGCTACTGAATCCAAACACTTTCTCCCCAGAATGAAGGGAAAGCACAGCTTATGTCCTGGCTGAGGTGTGGCAGAGAGAAGCTAACTCCAGTTTGCTGCACCCAAGCTGGGCTCTGCAGGCAGTGCAGTCCAATAGACATGAAATGAAAGCTACATACATGATTTTTGTTCCCTGGTGGTCAAGTGGTAAAGAATGTGCCTTCCTGCCTGCAGGAGATGCGCAGGAGACCCGGGTTCAATCCCTGGCTTGGGGAGACCTGCTGGAGAAGAAAATGGCAACCCACTCCAGTATTCTTGCCTGGGAAATCCCATGGACAGAGGAGTCTGGTCAGCTATAGTCCATGGGGTCGCAAAAGAGTTGGACACAACTCGTGGATTAAATCACCACACTAGTCATATTACCAAGGACAATAAAATAGGGGAAATTATTTTTAATAACACATTTTATTGAACGCAATGAATCTAAAATATTATCATGTAATCTATGTAAAAACTATTAATGAGACTTTGTTCACTGTTTTATTTTGTAAGAAATGTTTGCCACTTGGAGCTTCTTTTATATTCACTACACCTTTTCAGCCTAGATTATGTGCTTGTCAGCCTGTGGCTGGTGGCTCCCTGTTGGAAAAAGAGGCTCTAGAACCTCTCAGGCAGTGCTTTCACCCACACTCAAGCAATCTAGGGCCTGGATGAGCAAAACACACTCTGGTGCTCTGGTGTGCAGCCCTGTGTGATGACGGTAACTGGCAAGGTTTTACAACTTAATGGCGTTAACAATGCAGGATTCAATATTGCATGTTCGTTGTGCTTCTAAGGGCGTAAACACTGAATATAATTTTGTTAGAATGTATATATATAGCACATACTTAATAGGATATATATGTATATATATGCATAACATATAAGTGGGCTTCCCAGGTGGCACTAGTGGTGAAGAACCCGCCTGTCAATGCAGGAGATGTAAGAGATGGGGGTTCGATCTCTGACTGAAGTGACTTAGAATGCACGCAACATATAATTCATCACATTAGGGTTATTATTATGACTTTTCCAAAATGACATTAATATTGTTACATTGTTCTTATTAACAAATCTAAATAAGGAAAATGATCTTGTAGGCAGCACTGTTTTTTTCAGGGTCTCCAGTAGGAGGATCCTAGGGGCCAGGTCCTCAGTAAAAGCTAATGCATTTTAAGGAGACTTGGTTTGACTTCAGGACAACAGACAGGAGCTGCCCAAGTTTAGAAAATATTTGGACTCAGGACTCGGAAAGCAAGATAAAATGGAAAAAAAAAAAATGATTTTTTTCTCTTTAGTTCAGCAGTGAACTTGTAAGTTTCCCAAACAGTTTTCCTTTTTTTAATCATGAGACAGGCAGGGAGTAAATAAAATAAAAAGAAGCAGAACTAAATCATAATGTGAATAAAATATACTTTTTCAATAAAAACTTAACATCAGTTTTGAGGGTTCTTTCCATGAACTGTTTAACAAAATAAGAGTTTAGGATTGCTCTAGTTTTTAAATAAATTAAATGTCACCTCTGTAGAGTCACAGTAGGCAGTCACACTTTCCTGCTTTCCTGGGCCCTAGGAGGTGGGGGTCAAATGCATACCTTGATCCTTGATCTCCAAAGAGAAAGACTTCAAAAAGAAGTGCCCCCATCACTGTCCCTGGGGCAGGCCCATCATCATACCTATTAAACGTGCCCAAAATCCTTTCCCACAAAGGCAGGGGCGTGGCCACGGGGATGGCAGGCCTGGAGGCCCCTCTCTGCGCACAGTGACTTACTTCAGAATGGACTTGCTGTCGCTGATGGGCACATGAGAACCGGGGGGACAATCTTCCTTCATCTTCTCCTTTTGTCTGCAGACTTGGAAGTTACCTGCTAGGTAGAAAAGGAAGGGCCCACAGACAAGTAAGCCAGGAGGAGCAACAGCCAGTGTGGGGCCAAAGCTTTGGTGTAGAGGCCTGAGACCATGTTCCTACTCCTACTTCACCTCAGCCCCCATTCCCAGGCAGGAGTGGATAAAGTGTCAGACCCAGAGGACCTAACGGGACCCCGCACCCACATGTGCCAGCCCAGGCAGGGCAAGATCAGAACTACCGATCAGCCCCCTCCCCCACACCTCTTCACAATCCCTAGAAACCAGATCAATCTCCTCTTTCAGGTTATGTTCTCTTTTCCTTTTAAGGACACCTTGAATGATGTCTTCTACTTCGATGGCTCCCTCCAACCTCTAAGTCACCCCAAGCCTTTCTTGTCCATCCCCAAGGATCCTGGGGTGGTTGCCCCATTGCTGCCTTTGGAGTCAGCACACCTGGGCCAGCCCTCTTAGTGACAGGCTGATTGGTACCATATTCATTACATGCTGGAGGCTGTTGAGCGTATTCTATGAATTATTTATTCCTGACAGTACAATTATGAGGTAAGGACCATCGTATACCCATTTCATGGATGGGAAAACAGGGACAGAAGTTACATAGCTTCACCTAAGATTCCCAGTGAGTAAATGGCAAAGTCACTGATTACAAGCATCTAGCGCCTTGATTCTGGTCTTTTAGCCCCTTCTCTGTACCGATCTTGACAGTGAACTAGAACCCTCAGACCCTTAATTTTCTCTTTGGTGAATGAAGTAACTTCTGACCTATAGGGTTGTTCATAGACTCATCCATGAAACTGTCTCTTCTCATTCACAACCTGGAAATGTTTGTGGAGCTTCCCAAGCTCCCCGGGATTCCTTTCATGGAGGGTAAACCATCTAGAGCTTTCTCTCTCCTGTTGTCATCCTGCGCATAGATTCCTGCTCTTTTCTGTCTCTGCATCATTCTGGCCAAGTGCTCTCTTATCAACGCCCCCTGTGATTTGGGCTCTAAGCCAGCTTCACACACACACACACACACACACACACACACGCTCTAACCTCAACTGTGCTTCTGTACCCCTTCTCCCAAGTTGCAGGTAGGAATGAGGGGTTTAGTGACCCTGGGAGGTGGCACAGACCTGGGAGGGCACACAGCATGTCTTTCATATCGTGGAGCTCCTTCGGCTTCTTCACACACACACACAAAACCCAACATCTGTTCACACAAGCCTGGTTCAGCCACATCTTCCTGACCTGTGTGTGTGCCAGTGCTGCTGTGGGGCCTAGATCCCATTCAGCTGCTGTCTCAGGGAGGACCTCACTGCACAGTGCCCTGGGCGCTGACCCCAACTAGCCCCGCACACTGTCTCCCTGCTGGCTTGATCCTCCCACAAACAAGAAGAGCTAGCCTTCTTGTGGCCCCATCAGCCCTGAGCATCGATGCCAGAGGCAGGGGACACACAGTAGGCATGGAGACGGAGAATGATTTGAGGGTGGTGAGCTTCCCAGTGACATCAGAATCATCCCCTAAACCCCTCCCCTCTGCCTTGGTCTTGCCAGTGTGGCAAACTGGCCCGCAGATGGGGCAGGCTCCCAGCTGTGGCCAACAGCCGGCCCTGCATCCGTAGGGCACAGGGCATTGGCACCGTGGGGGCCTGGAGCTGGGGGCCTCCAGTGGCATTCTCCTTGGCCTATTTCAAAATAGGGTTTCAGTTCCTCAGCACTTCAGCCCTCCTGTGGAAAAAGGGATCTGCCAGGTTCTCTCTCCGGGTACTTCCTTAAATGCTACCAACACAGAAGCTGGCTTCAGCCCAGGGCAAGGCTGAGTCTCTCAGTCAAACCTGTTTCTGCTGGGTCAGTGACCCAACTGTCTTGTTTTAAGCAAGCTCATAATGGGAAGGGCGGATTTACCCAGAAATAACCCGAGGAGCTTTTTCTTCCTCATGCCTTGTTCTGCAGCCAGCTTCTCTCACTCCTCCCCACTTCCTGCTCTTGCTCCAGCCTGCCTGAGCTGCTCTCAGGTCCCCTAATGGGTCCGAGGCTTTGTCCTCCCTTTGGGCTTTTATGGCCATTCTGTCTCAGAAGCCAGCATCATCCTCATCCTAGACCCTAACCTTAGCTGCCCAGGAAGCCCTTCCTAGATCAGGCCCCTCCTCCAGCCATCAGCTCCTCTCTGGCCCAGCACCCGTGCCCCGCTCTCCTCCGCAGGACCTGCCTCTCGCTTTGACTCTCCCAGGAGGGCAGGAGCCTGATGTGGCAGAGATGTTGCTTTTATGCCTCACCGCTTGTTTCCAGTACAGATCACAAAAACTGGATGCTGCAGGAGATCCATATATGGCTGTTAAATTATTGAATGAGTACAGAAAGCCTCATGAGGTTCCCCCAAAGTCAACTTTCCCAGAGTTGTGTATACACAGCCTGGATAAATCATGTAAAGGTCTCTAGTGGTCAGGGACGTGACTTGGCTGAGGGACATTGGTCAGTGGAGCCTATGGGGGCTTGGGGACACGTTCTTCTTCCGGCAGGGCAGCTTTTCTGGTGTTTCATGAGAAGTCAGAAATCTGGATTTTTACAGACCATAGTTCACGTTTAAAGTTGGGTGACTGTGGTGGAGACAATTACTGCCCCTGGAATGACCGCGTGATAGCTCCCACTCCCCAGCCCCTTGCAGCCATGGGGCCATGTGACTAGCTCTGCAAATAGAAGTGTTGTGTGTCACTCCCGGGCCAGCGCATCTGGGCCAGTGTGTGACCCTGCAGCTCTCCTGCTTCCTGCCATGGTGACCCAGAAAGCCACATAACCCAGTTAGTATAGCTTCCTGATGGTCAGCCTGGGTCCCAGAGTATCTCGGGGGACCAGAGGCCTCTGCCAATCCACAACAGATGTGGATGGGGGAAGAGAAATAAACCTCTCTGTTTCAGGGATTTGTTACTGCAGGGTAATCTAGTTTATTATAATGCAGTAAATAATTCAATTAAATTGAATATGCATGTCAATGTATGGCAAAAACCACTACAATATTGTAAAGTAATTAGCTTCTAATTAAAATAAATAAATTAATTAAAAAATGAGTATATACATATATTTTAACTTCCCAGGTGGTGCTAGTGGTAAAGAGCCAGGCTGCCAACGCAGGAGACACAAGAGATGCGAGTTTGATCCCTGGGTTGGGAAGATCCCCTGGAGAAGGGCATGGCAACATACTCCAGATTCTTGCCTAGAGAATCCCCATGGATAGAGTAGCCTGGTTGGCTACAGTCCATAGGGTTGCAAAGAGTTAGACATGACTGAAGCAACTTAGCACACATGCATGTACACATATATGTAAAACTTGCAGATACATGACAGTTATAACACTTCGTGCTTTCATTCTCCCACAGCATGTAAGGAATGTGCCCATTTTACTCTATTTAGTAGGGACACTTATAAGTGGAATTCTCTTCTAAAAGAATTATCTTATAAACAGTGATTAGTTATTAATAGAAGATGCTTCTTAAAGTGTTCTTGGCTGGGAGCTGCTAAAAACCCATATAGCTTCAGTTGCATGCTTTTTCCTCTCTGGGTCTTGATTTTTCCATCTGTACAATGAGAATATTGATTTCCATTGAGTTAGAAATTTTCTCAGCTGTGGAACTCTTCATTCAAATGGAATATTTATGCAGATTAGATTGAGGGGCGGGGGTGTTCTGGCTGAAGGTGAGGCGGGTGGCAGGAAGCCTCCATCCATGGTGTTGTCCACGTGTGTGCTCATTGCTAAGTCGTGTCTGACTCTTTGGGACCTTCAGGGACTGTAGCCCACTGGGATCCTCTGTCCATGAGATGCTCCAGGCATGAATACTGGAGTGGGCTGCCTTGCCCTCCTCCAGGGGGTCTTCCATCTCTGGATATTACTGTGCTGCATGACAAAGGAGATGCTGTCTGCACTGGGCTTCTGGAATACACTTTACCCTAGAGAGCCTGCTTATTTAAAGGACACAATCAACAAGCTGAGGGTTTCCAGCTGGAGTTGGGTGACATCAGCTGGGGTTGGCAGCTCAGAGGGAATCAGGAGGAAAGTGCAGAAGGATCCTAGATGACATAGAACGAAGTGAAAGGAGAAGGTGGCTTGTTGAGTAAACAGCTTCTGTGTCAGAGAAAGAGAATGGAGGACACCATCCCAAGTAAGGGGAGGAGGGAAGTGAGGAAGGCCGGGGAAGCAACAAAGCTGCTTCCAAACTGCCAGGCGAGGCCTGAGCCTTACAGGGTAGGAAGTTCTACCCCAGGGAAAAGCAATCTTCTCTTCTTTGAGAGAACCAGATACTGCTGGGTCCTCTGACATCCATCATGCATATGGCCTGAAGCCAGTCTCATGGTCTCTGATTCTTACATGTCTCATCCCCCGACTCCCAAGTTGGCAACTCTGTCATCTCCTTGCATTCCAGACCTGAGCTCTGGGGTCACTTTCAGAATTCCACTCCAAATGTCGATACCACGTTTGTGCCTCATTTACCCGACTGGAGGTTGAGACAGTTTTCATTCCCAGTGTCTTGTCCAGTTCGCAAGTGAGCTGCTTGGGTACCTAAGAGGCATCCTATAGATAACTTGAATAAGAGCTTTGAGAGAGAGCAGGGACACATGCCCAGGAAGAAAGTCAATGGAGATGTCTCTCTATTTGGAACAAGTTCCTGAAGCCTCCCCTTAAACACTCACTCTCCTCATGCATTGGGCAGGACTTAATGAATCTCCAATGGAATGTTTTTCTACCTTTTATAAAAAGCATGATCTTATCTTTAAATAAAACCCTAGGAGAAGCTTAATACACAAACGGATTAAAGCGGGCCGCTGTGGTCGAGGATGGAGTCAGGGAGAGGATGGGCTGGCCCGCCACCCTGGCGCAGTCTGCAAAGCGCAGAGTGACAGATGCAGCTGGTCAGGCTAAGCTCTGTGGCTCTGGGGAGTCCAGCTTTCTTTGTCCTGGCTGGCTCCCCTCCCCCAGGCCCCAGGGCACACAGAATGGGCCTCTACTCTTGCTTCCCTGGCTGGAGGAGGCTCCGTCCCCAATCCAAGGACTCAGGCTGCAGCCAGGGTTCCCTGTCCCCAGAGGAAGGGCCCCAGGGCAGCAAGCCAGCCATGGTTACCTGTCCCAGTGAACAGGCAGTGAATTGTTTTCGCTTTGCACTTCAGTGGTTGCTCTGCCAGCCGTGAGGAGGGGCTGTGAGGACAGTGGGCCGGCTGCCTACCCTCCGCATTGTCCCTGGCCTTTCATTTGGGACAAAGGACACTGAAGGTTTTCAGCTGCCTAGTTTGGACCACTTTCCTCTTTGGGAGTTGTGGAGCCGGTTATCACGAGGGAAGGCAGATGGCTCTTCAGGCCATCACCATAGCCCACTTCCTATGGGCCAAGGTCTGAAGCAGAAAAAGAAGGCTAATGCAGTGGTGTTTTCCTGAGGCTAAACCCACTACATTTGAAAGCCTTTTATTTCAAGATGATGTGCTGCCCACAATGCCCCCTCTTTCATAAACTTGTGGCAACAACAGATGGTCATTGTTGTCCTCACTTGGCAGAATGGAAAATGTTATCAGTGTCCAAATTAAAATGTTCTGAGGATGTTTGTGAAATCTGAATGCTTGGTAACCTCTGTTCTTACATCTTATAAAATTATGACTCTGATGTTCCTCTTTGTGTGTGTGCTCAGTTGTGTTTGACTCTTTGCAACCCCACGGACTAGCCTACCAGGTTCCTCTGTCCATGGAGTTTTCCAGGCAAGAATACAGGAGCGGGAAGGCAGGATGAGCCAAAGAAAAAGGACAGAGCGTGAGGGGCACGACTGGGAGCCTCTGAGCCCAGGCTGCTCAGACCAGAAGGAGGAAGGAGCTTCTCAGGAAGACAGCAGGTGCTGGGACACTGCCATGCATTCCTGGGAAGCCCGAGTCCCATGTTCTGCAGCCCAAGGCTACAACTTTCGATCACCAGCCAGGGCCAGCAGGAAGGTGGCGGGGAAAGCAATGAACCTTTAAATGGGCCCTCGAGAGCACCTGTTAGCCAGCAAATGGCAGGAAGTTGGCCAAGGAAGAAGCTGTAGTGCCTGCTGGTACCAGCTGCCCCTGATAGGGGGGTCTGGCCAGACACAGGCCACTCCCAAGCAACAGATTTTTGCCAAGAGAGCCAACTGTTGGGATGCAGGTGGTGAGCAGGAACACAGCAGCTGCAGCTCCCATTCCCTTCCACACTGATGTCTTGGCTCTTCCTCTCTCCTCCATCCTCACCCCCAGCCTGGGCTTGACCACACTCTCCCCGCCCCAAGCCTGGTGGACGGGAAGCCCAGGGGGACACTGTGCAGTCCAATTGGAGTCGAGCAGAGCAGGAGCGGCCACTGCAGTCACTGCCACCTCTACACACTGCCTTCTCCTGGTCCATCCTCTGACCCTGGCTCACCTTTACTGTATCCTCTCATCCCCCAAACCTTGGGCTTCCCCCAGCTCTCTCCCTCAGACCATCCCAACACCCAGGCCTCCGTGACACCATTGCCCTTCCTCTGAAGAGCCGAACCCTCTGCACTTAGGCAGCCTGGCCCTCCTCATAAGCTTTCTGGTAGCTCCCACCTACAAGTGGTGCTACACTCAGACTCCTGCAGCCAGATCTCTGGTTTCTGTCCTTGCTTTCAAAACATGGCAACCTGGGGCAAGAAAGCACTTCCAATCCTCCTGCTCCCTCTCACACATACATACTCCCTGGCCAAAGTCCTTACACACACCTCTCCCTCCTCAAACTGGACCCACCCCTGGCCTATGGGAGAAGAAATCTAAGGAAACAGGAGGACTTCCCAGGTGGCGTTAGTGGTAAAGAACCTGCCTGCCAATGCAGGAGACATGAGAATTCAATCCCTAGATAGGGAAGATCCCCTGAAGGAGGAAGGAGGAAATGGCAGCCCACTCTAGTATTCTACCCTGGAGAATCCCATGGACAGAGGAGCCTGGTGGGCTACAGTCCATATCGTCACAAAGGGTCAGACACAACTGAGCACGCACTCATAGAAACAGGAATCCTTGCAGCCGTGCTTTTTGGGCCAAATAGCTACTCAGAATGATCACTGACCAATATCCCGCTGGCCTGGGGTTAGAGGGGCAGGCCCTCCGATTATTAAGTGCCAAGTGCTGTGGGGCAGCACTGATGCTCTCTGTTGCTGCCCCCACCCCTGGCTCCCTGATTTGCCCTCCCTCCCCAGCCAGTGCTACACACTGCACCACACCTGTGTACCGCATGCAGCTGCTGAAGGCGGCTTCCTGCAAGACACGGTTCAGCTCAGAACCATGGGTCATGGAGCCCTTTGGAGTCTCTTGAAAGCTTAACACACGCTCTCCAGAAAAATGCCCATGTGTGCGTGAGTGTGCACACAGGCACACACGAGATTTGCATACCATTGCAGGGGATCAGTAAACCCTTACCCATGTGCCCCTGGATCCCTAGGTCCCATGTTAAGAACTTCTTCCAAAATGTGTCACAAAAAGAGAGAGGAGACAAGGGGGCATCCCAGAGAGAAGGCAGGTGTGAGCTTTGCTGGGGCATCAGCTTGGTACATGATTTCAGCATGCTGCTGCATCTCTTGGGCCTTAGCTTAGCCAGGATTGTAGCCAGGCAGCTGGAAAAGAGTGTCTTTAGGTCTCTTCCCAGCTCTGCAGCTATGGGGCTGTATGACACCTTCACTTCTACCCCTCAGGGTCAGGCAAGGCTGTTGCTGTTATTCTTGTTGGGTCACTAATGTTGTGTTCAACTCTTTTGTGAACTCAAAGATTATAGCCCACCATGCTCCTCTGTTCATGGGATTTTCCAGGCAAGAACACTGGACTGGGTTGCCATTTCCTCCTCCAGGGATTTTCCCAACCTAGGGATTGAACCAGCATCTCTAAAACCACAGGCATATTCTTTATCACTGAGCCACCTGAGAAGCCCAAGGTAAGGGGAAGGGGCTCCAAATCTCTTTCAGCAGTGCATCCTGGGGAAGGAGGTCAGAAGCCAAAAAAGGGAGGGAACCAACTGCAAGTTCCCCTTTAACAAGAGTGAGAAATCTGCTGAAGCTTCAGGAAGTGCAGCCACTTCCTATTTGATTTTGATTTACCTTAAAACAATTTGAAAATGTTTTCTTCAGTGTCCTCTGCAGCAGGATAACCACCAGCCTTTGCAATGATCTGGATTTAGAGCTCTGCTCTGGGATTCTGATGCTGAAGCTGAAACTCCAATACTTTGGCCACCTGATGAGAAAGAACTGACTCATTTGAACAGACCCTGATGCTGGGAATAATTGAAGGCGGGAGGAGAAGGGGACGACAGAGGATGAGATGATTGGATGGCATCACCGATTCAATGGACATGAGTTTGAATAAGCTCTGGGATTGGTGACGGACAAAGAAGCCTGGCGTACTGCAGTCCATGGGGTCACAAAGAGTCGAACATGACTGAATGATTGAACTGAACTGAACTGGGATTCTGTAGCTGTGTGACCTTAGGCAAATCCCTTTCCTTCTCTGACCTTCAGATTCTTCAGCTGAATCACTGACTGCTGTGAAGGTGAATGAGGGAACAGGTAAGATGGGCTTCATATGGGCTTCACCCATGATAAACATAAGTTCCCAGTAGAAGTCTGAATGGGAGTCCAGGGCTCCAGAGGGACAGCGAGGCTCTGATATGGGAACATGGTACTCAGAGAGGATGACGGTCCTCAGCAGGAGCGTCTATGAGCCACAGTATTTAGCTGAACTCACTCTCAAAACAGGGCCCAGTCCAGAGTGCTTTCTGGTAGCTCCCATAGTCAGAGCCTCCCCTTTGAGCCTCTGCATTTATAGAACCTGAACTGTAACACATGCCTGAGTTCTGTTTATATTCTGTTGTCACGGGTCATTGTCCAGCTGACCCTGACCCAGGGGGACTCTGGACCTTCACTCTGTTCTCCAGGCCACCTGATGGAGTCTCATGGTGGAAATACAGCTCCACCCCCTCACCCCCAGCCCCCCACCCCCTCACCTCCCCTCATTGCCCCTCCCCCCCAACCCTTGCTTCCACACTGACACTTTAATCTGTGGTCTCAATCTTACTTTCCCTGCAAAGTCTTGAACCACCAGCACTATGCACAGAGGGGATAATGACAAAAACTAAAGAAAATGTACTGACAGCGGTGAAACACACCCCATAACAACTTCCGGGCAGCAATTTTTTGACCTAGGGCTAAGGCATTCATCTTCTCTTTTCTTCTTTTCCCTTCTTCCCCTCTCCCTCCTATCCCCCGCCTTCCTCCCTCCTCTCCTTAGCACCTCCCACCCTGCTGGCAGCGCTCAGGAATTACTCAAGGGAGCTGGAGGCAGGCTGATCGGCATTTTAGTTGTTGTTATTGTTTACTCATGGCTTCTGCCAACAAATCTTGATTGTGCTGTGAGCAGTTAAACTACAGAGAAGCCTGTGAGGGTCCTTCTTGCAAGTGCAAGCACATGGCTTTAGAGTCCAACTTGTTCAGTCACTAAGTCAAGTCCCACTCTGCAACCCCATGGACTGCAGCGTGCCAGACTTCCCTGTCCTTCACCATTTCTGGGCTCAAATTCCAGAATCCCAGCCCTCACCTGTTATGACCCTACTTAATTCCTCTGTGAAGTGGGGTTATTAAAGCTTTTTCAGTGTTTTAAGAAAACACTGTCACTGGCCTGGCACTGATCCTGGTGCGAGAGATCACACACAGCCCTCCCCCAGGGCTGTTGCAGATTAATAAAACAAAGGCATCTGTCCAGAGTGGGAAGTGCAGGACAGAGTCAGGAGCACGGGGCAACAGGGCGGCTGAACTCAGTGGGGGAAATGAAAGAAATCTGGCATAATAAGCCCTGGCTAAAAATCCTGACCCTACCCCTGACTCATCTCGGTAAAACCAGAGAACACTGTAACTTTTCAAACTTCAGTTTTCTCATCTGAAGATGGGGACAGTGAAAGTATCAAGGCTGTGAGAAGTGTGAGAAGCATATTGTGCTAAAACTATTAGCACAGGTCTGACAACAGGCAAATCCTCTGTAAATAGCGATTGTGAGGCCCTGCTGCTGCTATTATCTCGGTGTTCATGGTCTTCCATCCATGAAATCTGAGGGTTGTGCCAGAGGCACTGCAAGCCTCTCCCCCCAATTCTCAGATCAATGATGCTAGGATATCGGCCAAGATAAGAGACAAGGTGGGCAAAGATGTAGCCGGCGGCCACGCGCGCACCTGCTTTGCTCAGGTTTTAGCTCCTTCAGTGTCCTCTCATTGGAGCAGGTGCCTGGCGCAGTGCCCACTCTCAGCGGTGGGCCCGAGGCCCAGAAAGTGCCAGGCTGGCAGAGGGAGGGGACTTAGCACGAGGCAGCCAAGGGGCACAAGTGCCTAGACTCCAGAGCCCCTGGCTGGGCCAGGTCCTGGGCTCGCGCGGTGGAGGGAGATCGGAGCTCCGCGGGCGCCCGGTGCATCACTCACCGACCACTCATCGCGCAGTGCAGAACCCGCTGCCGGTGCCTTGCCCTCGCAGTCACCCGAGATGCCTCCGCAGCGCCTACTGCCCGGTCCTCCAGGACTTGGAGGGTCAGGCCCGCCCCCTCCCCACCCTCCCCGCCCCTCGCCTCGCTCCAGCCAATGGCACAGCCTCGTTACTCCCTCTTCGCCCCGCCCCTGCCTCTTCCCGCCCCTCCCCGCCTCTCGTCCAACTCTGGCCAATGGCGTCATGTCACCTTGACGGACCCGCCCAGCCCCTGGCAAGCCCGGGAGGGTAGGGGAGGTGCCGAGGGGCCTCGGGGAAGGTTTGGGGCATTAGCTGGTCTGGCTGTCCCGTGACCACCCCGAGGGCGCCTTGAGGGAGACTCACGAAAGAAGCAGCCCCGACTGCATAGGCAGGATCAAGCATGCTGGCCAAGGTCAGGACCCCTGCGGGAATAGACACTCGGGTTTCCAACAAAGGTCGCTGTGCAAGCCCCTCAATTACTAGTGTGCCTGTCATGAGAGAGGAGGTAATCAGCAGAACCCGAACGATGTTAGTTTTTGCTCAAAGGGCCACCTGTTTGCAGTTTGGCTGCAACGTTGGCGTTGCCTCTCAGAACTTCACCGCCTTTAAGAAATCAGATCCTCAGATGATGAAGAGGAGATAACTTCTCTGCCAGTTACCCACTCCAGTACTCTTGCCTGGAGGATCCCGTGGACAGAGGAGCCTGGTAGGCTGCAGTCCATGGGGTCGCGAAGAGTCGAAAACGACTGAAGCGACTTAGCAGCAGCAGCAGCGGCAGGAGGATTTACCTGCGTGGGGGTAGAGTGAACGGAAGACCATGGCCTTTTGGGGAACTCGGAACAGTTCCGTAATTCTGGGATGTGGGGGTGGAAGGGATGGAGAAGGGGTTGACGAAAACAATTCTGATTTCTGTTTTATACCACCATCCCAACCCTGACCTTGGGACTTCCCCTTCCCTCCCCTCAGCATGAATCATTTTATTTTCGTCTCAATCTGTGGTTCCTAATATTTTTAGAGTCATATGGCCAGTTTAGAATGTGATATGGACCTTTTAGAAAAATGCAGGTGCCCACATAGGTAAAAATCAGCCTGGGATTTGAGTCTATGAGTCTCTGGATCCCATTTGAGGGAGGCTGTACTAATCCTTGTAGTTTGGGCTGCTGGTTATGGGGTAAAGAGATCGAGCTCTACCATAGACTTCTTGCATAACCTTGCCCTGTTGCAATGGCTCCTGGCTTCAGTTTCCCCATCTGTAAAAATGATGGAGCTAAAGATGACCAGGCCAAGGATCTTTCAGCTCTGTCTTTGCACGACTTCATGAAGAGTAGCCCATTCTCTGCCAATTCAAGACACCCCTGTGGTCAGGGACCTCTGTTCCTGCAGAGCCTAAAGGTCTGATCACCAAAACTGAGGACAATAATTGGGTGCTTCAGAAGCTGTTTTTAAAAATTTTTTTCAAACAGTGAGTAAAATCCAATGTAACCCTTAACCTCTGAGCATTCATTCATGCTCAGTAGGATAAGTGGACAGAGCACCCAGGTAAGATACAGTTTCCCTTGGGCCTTCCAGCACTTGAGAGTGCTGATCAAGCTGATGCTATCTTCAGGGCCAGGACTAGCTTGGAGTGATGATTGGCTTTAAGGAACAGCTTGATGTGTCCTTTACTTCCACTGTGTGCCAGGCACTCTGTAGGTGCTTTACAGTAGGGATCCCATCCAATTCCCACAACCTTCCCGGGAATGGTTGTTACTAACCACATTTTACATAGAACACAAGTGTCCATCCTCAAGGACCTTCAGAAGGAGTATCACCTTTTCCTTCAGTATTCAATGGCACCATATTTGGCCCCCAGGTCACTTATGGTGAGTGTTGTGTATACTCTTAGTTGCCAACCCAGTACCCATTCTCTACTTTGGAAAAAATAAAGAGAAGAAAGGAAAAGAAAGGAAAATTGATGCAGCCACTATGGAGAATGGTAAGGAGGTTTGTCAAAAAACTAAAAATAGAGTTGCCATGTGATCCAGCAATCCCACTCCTTGGCATATATTTGGAGAAAACTCTAATTCGAAAAGATACATGGACCCCAGTGTTCATAGCAGCACCATTTACAATAGCCAAGACATGGAAACAGTCTAAATATCCATTGACAGATGGATGGATAAAGAAGATATGGTAAATATATACAATGGAATATTGGTCATAAAAAATAATGAAATAATGCCATTTGCAGCTACATGGGTGGACCTAGAAATTATCATACTAAGAGATGTAAATCAGAAAGAGAAAGGCAAATATCCTATGATATCACTTATATGTAGAATCTAAACTGTGACACAAATGAACTTATCTACTAAACAGAAACAGACCCACAGACATAGAGAACAGACTTGTGGTTGCCAAGGGGGAGGGGGTGTAGAGGAGGGATAAATTGGGAGTTTGGGATTAGCAGCTACAAAACTATTATATAATGGATAAACAACAAGGTCCTACTATATAGCACAGAGAACTATATTCATTATCCTGTGATAAGCCATACTGGAAAAGAATAAGGAAAAGGAATATAACTGAATCACATTGCTATAAACCAAAAACTAACACAACATCGTGAATCAACAGTACTTCAAAAAAAAAGTTGAGAGGGAGACAGAGAGAGAAACAGAGAAGGAGACAGCAAGAGTGAGCAACTTGTTTGGAGCAGCAATGTGCCACTCCCTAGTAATGGATCGTGACAATTTGTATTTTTCATACCGTACATACAGCTCAACAGCGTGTCATGAAATCAAGTTAGTATGTGATTTGACTAGTATTTTAAAAATAGAAAATATCAATGTAAAGCACACATAGTAAATGAAAGTTGTGTTTTACAAAATTTTGTTTATCTTATGGTTTGTTTATGTGTATTAGGCTGTTATATAAAATATATTTCTCACTGTGGGCCTCGGTTTAAAAAAAAAGGTTGAAAGTTACTGTCTAAGTCAATCTTGACAATCTTTTACATAGTTTTCTCAGCTTCCTTTGAAGCTATAAGTGGTCATGTGACCCACTTCTGTGCTAAGAGATAGGGAAAACTGTGCTGGAGGGTGAAGACAACTTTTGCTTTCCTGATAGAAGGAACAGATAGATTCCACTTTCCCCTGCCTTTCTGTCTCAAATGTGGATAATGTGTAATGTCAGGAACATTGGCAACCATTTTGAGGTTATGATGCAACATGTCCACATGCTAAAGCTGGTGGAACACAAAGATAAAAGTAGTCTGGGCCTTTAGTAACTTTATGGAGTTGCTGCACAATGCCTTCACTGCCTTCTCTAGACCTCCAGGCAGATTCTTTTCTTTCTGAACCACCAGGAAAGGCCCCCCAATAAACTACTACTTGTTTAAGCCAGAGGTTGGTAAGTCTTTTCTGTAAAGGGCCAGATATTCAATATTTTAGGCTTTGTGGGCTAAGTGATCTCTGTTAGTCAGTTCAGTTCAGTCACTCAGTCATGTCCCACTCTTTGCGACCCCATGAATAGCAGCACGCCAGGCTTCCCTGTCCATCACCAATTCCCGGAGTTTATTCAAACTCATGTCCATCAAGTCAGTGATGCCATCCAGCCATCTCATCCTCTGTCGTCCCCTTCTCCTCCTGCCCTCAATCCCTCCCAGCATCAGGGTCTTTTCCAATGAACTGACTCTTCGCATGAGGTGGCCAAAGTATTGGAGTTTCAGTTTCAGCATCAGTCCTTCCAATGAACACACAGGACTGGTGTAAAACACCCTTTAGGATGGACTGGTTGGGTCTCCTTGCAGTCCAAGGGACTCTCAAGAGTCTTCTCCAACACCACAGTTCAAAAGCATCAATTCTTTGGTGTTCAGCTTTCTTCATAGTCCAACTCTCACATCCATACATGACCACTGGAAAAACCATAGCCTTGACTAGATGGACCTTTGTTGGCAAAGTAATGTCTCTGCTTTTTAATATGCTGTCTAGGTTGGTCATAACAATTACTTAATTCTGCTGTTGTGGTTTGTAAGTATTCATAGATAGCAGGCAAATCAAAGGACACTAGTGAAGTTCCAATAAAACTTAACAAAACAGGTGGCAGGCCACATGTGACCTCTGGGTTGTAGTTTGCTAGCTTTCCCTGGATGATCTTGCTCTTTTTATTGCCTCTCTGACCTCATCTCCTCCCACTTCCCCTCCCTCTCTCTGTTCTTTTTCCCACACACCTGGCCCACTCCCACCTCATGGATTTTGCACTTGCTGTTGCCCCAGTCTGGAAGGCTCTTCTCCCAGATATCTGCAGGACTTGTTCCTTCACCTCCTCTAGGTTTTACACACAAACTGCTCTTCTCTGCAGTCTTCCCTTGCCCACTATCTAAAAGGCCAGTCCCTGGCCCGGACATACTACTCTCTGGCATGCTGTGTATTTCATTTCTTTATCATGAGATCCTTGAGAGAGGGAGATTTTATCTCTTTCCTTAGATACTAACTCTGCCTGGAATGTGAAGGTGTTTAATCAATATTTGGTGTAGGATTGATTTTTTTTTCCTGCCTGTCAGATTCGGGTAAGAAAACAGACATAAGGAGGCTCATTACCCCATCCAAGGGGACAAAGTGAGTAAAGTCATAGAATCTGAGTTTGCCTCCTAATTGCCCTGATGGTCATATTTGTGCCACCAGGGAATGAGAGTAGAACAATATCTACCTCTATAGGGGGCTTCCCTGGTGACTCGGTGGGTAAAAAAACTGAGCGACTAAGCATGTACCTCTATTGGAAGATTGGGGTTCAGGGAAGCAGGGGCCACAGAATTTTCTGGAAGACTTCTTTCTCCAGGGAATTGTTCCAATAAAGGGGACCTTTGGGAGTCAATAAGGAAATAGGGCATTATCCTGTTATCTTGGGCAGTCTCATTTTTTATAGCATTCCTGCTTCAGAAAATCGTTAGGAAAAAAATCTTTATTTTGTGAACAGTCCAGACTGACTTGTAAGATCCATAAAATGCCAAAGGGAAGCACTCATGATCCAACATTTTTAGCCAAGAAGGAGCCACAGAGAATAAGCTTATGTTTGACTTGTAAGTGTGGAAACATAAAGGAGCCCAAGTCTGATCAAACACATATGATTTCTTGCATCAGACAAGGCTGCCCCTGGGGCAGTGCACTGTGCTTGGCTTTTCTTGAAGCTTCTTGGCACCAGGGCACCATTCCAAGAAGATGGAGAAACTACCTTCTCCCTCCCGTGTTTTGAGAGGCAAGTCATGAAAATGCCTGGGTATAATCACACACTGTTAAGATTCAATTTAGATTTCTCTGAGCCTTGAAAGAAAATAGATGTATATTTTAACATAATATTAACAATGAAGATGATTTTCAAGGCCATTCTTTTAAAACAGTAAAGTGGAGTTTGAATTAAAATTACTGGGTTATTTCCTAAGGCCTTTTGTGGGTGACTTTGTATGATTTTTCCCTTTTACTTTCTCTGATAGAAGATTCTGGACAAGTGAGTTCTTAAAGCAAATTTTCAAAAATTCGGCAGATTTTGAATGTATATCTTTGGAAAACTACTGGATGATTGTACTTGATTGAGACTGCTAAGATCTAGTTTCGAGTAGATTTTCTTTACTTTAATGGGTTCTGTTTTATTGAACCCATTAGCAGGAAGAGTCCACTTATAGAATACTTCTTGTACTATTCAGTTTGGTGGAATCCTTGAGTAGCAAGATCATCCCATTGTGTGATCTTAATGTGCAGCAGGATTTGCCAGTTTTCAGATGATGTCTCAAATAATTTGCATACCATCTATGTTTCTTTCCTATATGAAATAGTTTGCATTAGCTCCATTTATTAGCATATAAATAATAACTTCAGGTTAATATATGGAACTCTGCAACCCATTCCAGAGGCAGACTGAGAATGAGAATTTATTCTACAAATGGACATAAATTTCAATGATGTTTACCATATTAGAGCCTTCTCCTTAAATGGGCACACACTCAACATATTATTTGTCCTTTAAGTTATCCTTTGGAGAAACATCCATTCCATGCTGCAGATCTAGTAAGGCACTGGGTTTCTTAGAAGGATGAGAGTTTGCTTTAAAAGGTGATATATTAATTGCTAAAGATTGCTGCTGAAATTTCCTTTGGGGAAAAATAACTGCTTAGCTCAAGCCCTTTCTCCACTTGGCCCCAAGAAGAGGGTGTAAATGTACCCAGAACCGCTCAAAAAACATATGTGAGGACAAGGATGGCATCAACATCTCTAGGCAGAGAGCATACACAGGTCTGGTTGGTTGATCAGTTAAGATCTTTCTCTTCACACTCTCCTTCCTATCTTCCTGACACTGGACATACATACTTTTTTTTTTTTTTTTTTTTGGTTCATCTAACAGTACAAATCAGAAAGTTAGGGAAGGTATCTCTCCACATCCTTGGATTCTCCCTACCTTCCCATGCCTCCCCCAGACCTGTGTCACCTCCCCACTCACCACATCACATATGTTCTTCCACCGTCTATGCGGCTGTGCCTCTGGAGGATGCTGATAACATGGGGCTGCTAGAAAGTTGATTATTATGAATGGATATTGTAATGATCAGGAGTTAATAAGATCTTTACAATAGGATGAAAACAACTGGCAATGCAAAACTCCAGGACAAACTGCATTTTCATTGTAACTATAATTTTAATAAAAATAACTTTAAGTTGTTTAATATTTTGATTCATTTAACAAAAAGCAAGACTATTTACTGAACACAATGGCTGGACATGAAAGAGTATAAGGGCAGGAGGATTTACGGGACAATGTGCTTCAAAGGAGAATGTCTTAAGTAAGGTTTCCCCACACACAGAGTCTGTGTTGCTTGGAAGCCAGAATCTCTATGAATAATACAATACTGACTGATACTCAAGGCTGAGAACTAAGGAGTGTCAGGACCTTCCCTGAAGCCAGGATATTAAGCAGCCAAAGGAAGTGGAGATCTTCTAGATGAAAAATAGAACATTTGACAAACAAGGGCCGTTTGTCCAGCTCCTGGGCTGTGAATTTCAAAATGATCCTCCTCAGGCACTTTGGGGAGACTCCCCAGCATAGAGAATGTGGCTGCTACTGTGTCCTGGAGGGAAGAGTGGCCTCCTCTACCTTTTCTTCTAAGCACGCAGCTTCCCGAGGAATGTAAAACATCCCCAGTGGGGAAGGGGCAAGTTGGCCAGACTTGACCTGTTAACCCTGGGTTTAAAAAGATGTTTCAGCTGAATTGACCTTACCTCTGAACCTGCTATCAAAGCCACCTCTGTTTTGCCCCTGGTGTGACAGAAGCTGCCCATTCCCAAGCTTCCTTCTCAAACTTTGTAAACTAAGGATCTGACTGTTTTAAGAAAGGATGTGTGTATGTGTGTTAGTTGCTCAGTCGTGTCAACTCTTTGTGACCCCGTGGACGGTAGCCCCCCAGGCTCCTCTGTCCATGGGATTTTCCAGGCAAGAATACTGGAGTGGGTTGCCATTCCCTTCTCCAGAGGATCTTCCCGAGCCAGAGATCGAACACATGTCTCCTGCACTGCAGGCAGGTTCTTTACCATCTGAGCCACCAGGGAAGCTCTTAAGAAAGGACAGCACTGTATAATCACTAAACTTCTTAAATTGTGTGTCCATTGGAAATTGTTTCTTTTTTTTCACATTGAAAACTCTCCCTCATTGTAATAATTAAGATGTCAACCTTACACCTGGACAGAATTAGAATGACTGGTGTAATAGAATTCTCAATAGAAATACAAATAGGAACTATATATTATATTATATTATATATCCTATTGTGATAGGTGGATATTTATTTATTTATTTATTAAAATCGGCTCATCTGACAATTCCAATAAATAATTCCTGGGGGTTGACAGGTCCAAAATCTTTTGTGCAGGCCAACTGGCTAGAGATTCAGGTAGGAGTTGATGTAGCAGGCTTGAGTCTAAAATCTGCAGACCAGCAGTCTGGAAACTTAGTCAGGATTTTCATGCTTCAGTCTTGAAGCAGAATCGTTTCTTCCTCAGGAAACTTCAGTCCTTGCTCTTAAGGTATCCTTAAGGTCTTAAGATTGGCTGTGTGTGTGTGTGTGTGTGTGGGTGTGTGTGAGAGAGAGAGAGTGTGTGTGTGTGTGAGTGAGTGTGTGTATGTGTATGAGTGTGTGTGTGTGTGTGTGTGTGTGTGTGTGTATGAGTGTGTGTTGCTCAGTCATGTCCTACTCTTTGCAACGCCATGGACTGTAGCCCTCCAGGCACCTCTGTCCATGGGATTCTCTAGGCCAGAATACTGGAGTGGGTAGCCATTCCCTTCTCCAGGGGATCTTCCTGACCCAGGGACTGAACCCTGGTCTCCTGCATTGCAGGCAGATGCTTTATCACCTGAGCTACCAGGGAAGTCTCAGGATTGAATGAGACCCAACCACATTCTGGCTTCTCTGGTGGCTCAGATGTTAAAGCATCTGCCTGCAATGCAGGAGACCTGGGTTCAATCCCTGGGTCAGGAAGATCCCCTGGAGAAGGAAATAGCAACCCACTCCAGTACTCTTGCCTGGAAAATTCCATGAACTGAGGAGCCTCGTAGGCTACAGTCCATGGGATCGCAAAGAGTCGGACACGACTGAGCGACTTCACTTTCAACCACATTCTAGAGGGAAATATGCTTTACTGAAAGTCTACTGATGTAGATCTTAAAAAAAAAAAAATACCTTCACAGGAGCATCTAGATTTGAGTTTGATCAGACAGCTGGGCACCATGACTTAGCCAAGTGGACACAGAAAATGAATCACACCCCTCTCAGAACAGGCTCAGTGGCCAGGTGTGGCCTGATGCTTGGAATTTCAAGACCCTGAAATATGACAGTGCCTCCTTTCTCAGGGATTTCCCATTTTAATGTACCCATATAATCTGGGACAATTTTTGAGCAACTTTTGCTTCTCCATTGGCCTACTGAGTCTAACTTAGGAGTTGGATAGATAGTAAAAATTTTCTTATTTGTGGCCTGTGCCATCTCTCTTGCTACTTCTCAAGCAGAAGCAGTCACAGACGATCTGTAAATGAATGGTATGGCTGTATTCCGATTAAACTTTATTTACCAAAACAGGATGAGGACCCAATTTGGTCCATGAGTAAAGAGAGAGGTGGGGTTGATACAGGACATTTTCTTTATGCAAAACCTAGCAAACGGTGTAGGTAAGTTACACTCTAGCATGGGATGCTTTCATCTGTAAGGAACAAAAAACCTAAACAAAGGGGATTTTATTATCTTACACCATAAAAAGCCCCAGGAATGGGTGGTTCCACTGTTGTCTAAGTCAGGGTCTCAGAGACCTTTTCAGGGACCCAGGTTCTTTCCATCTCTGCACTCATCCTCACACTTTTAGTTCCCCCTTACATTTGGAAATGGTTCTTATATTTCTCAGCAGCCATGACCACATTGAGTGGAAGGAGACGAAGGGTGTGATCGAGTGAGGCTCATGTTAATAGCAAGGAAATCTTTTCCAGAAGATATTGGGCCACACCTACCACCTCTCACTTGTTGTCCAGGAGTGGCATATGGGTGCGCTGCAGAGGATGGACCCAGTTGACTGGACCCAAGTGACCCAGTATATGACTGGCAGAGGGGAGGAAGGTAGATCAGCTATGAAAATTCAGGCTCTACCAGCAAGCAAGGGGTCAACAGTGCCCTTGGAAAGAAGCCTGTCCATGCCTGAGGTAACTGCAGAGTCACGGCAGGCAAGGAGAGCCCATTGTGGGGTCAAAGTCACTGCATGGGGGTGAGTGAACTGGGTCTGAAGCCAGAAGGGAGGACAACAGCTGGAGAAAAGTTGAGGAGAGCAGTGTCCACTGTGGAGCATCCAGGAGGTGGGGAGGAAGCTCTCAGTAATTGGGAAAGGACCGTGGGAGAGAAAGTGGCCTGGCTGCGAGCACAGGGACCTGCCCAAACCTGGGAAATGGGAAGAGTGGCCATGGGGTCCTGAGGCCCAAAAGACTCCCATCAGCAACTGGGGGTCTTTGGCCATGGGCTCAGGGCTCAAGGGAGCAAGAGGCCTTTGAGAGGTGGTGCTGGCTGGCCTCGCTCTGCTAACCATTTTTATAAATACTAGAGACTGGAACACAGCAAGTTCAGTTCAGTCACTCAGTCATGTCTGACTCTTTGTGACCCCATGGACTGCCGCATACCAGGCCTCCCTGTCCATCACCAACTCTTGGAGCTTACTCAAACTCATGTCCATAGAGTTGGTGATGCCATCCAACCATCTCATCCTCTGGTGTCCACTTCTCCTCCTGCCCTCAATCTTTCCCAGCATCAGGGTCTGTTCAGATGAGTCAGTTCTTCACATCAGGTGGCTAAAGTATTGGAGCTTCAGCTTCAGCATCAGTCCTTCCAATGAATATTCAGGACTGATTTCCTTTAGGATGGACTCGTTGGATCTCCTTGCAGTCCAAGGGACTCTCAAGAGTCTCTCCAACACCACAGTTGAAAAGCATCAATTCTTCAGTGCTCAACTTTCTTTACAGTCCAACTCTCACATCCATACATGACTACTGGAAAAACCATAGCCTTGAGCAGATGGACCTTTGTTGCAAAGTAATGTTTCTGCTTTTTAATATGCCGTCTAGGTTGGTCATAACTTTCCTTCTAATGAGCAAGCATCTTTTATTTTCTTTTAATTAGTTGGAGGCTAATTACTTTACAATATTGTAGTGGTTTTTGCCGTACATTGACATAAATCAGCCATGGATTTACATGTGTTCCCCATCCCGATCCCCCCTACCGCCTCCCTCCCCATCCCATCCCTCTGGGTCTTCCCAGTGCACCAGCCCTGAGCACTTGTCTCATGCATCCAACTTGGGCTGGTGATCTGTTTCACCCTTGATAGTATACTTGTTTCAATGCTATTCTCTCAGAACATCCCACCCTCACCTTCTCCCACAGAGTCTAAAAGTCTGTTTTGTACATCTGTGTCTCTTTTTCTGTTTTGCATATTGGGTTATCGTTACCATCTTTTAAAATTCCATATATATGCTTTAGTATACTGTATTGGTCTTTATCTTTCTGGCTTACTTCACTCTGTATAATGGGCTCCAGTTTCATCCATCTCATTAGAACTGATTCAAATGAATTCTTTTTAATGTCTGAGTGATATTCCATTGTGTATATGTACCATAGCTTCCTTATCCATTCGTCTGCTGAGCAAGCGTCTTTTAATTTCATGGCTGCAGTCACCATCTGCAGTGATTTTGGAGCCCAAGAAAATAAAGTCAGCCACTGTTTCCATTGTTTCCCCATCTATTTGCCATGAAGTGATGGGACCGGATGCCATGATCTTAGTTTCCTGAATGTTGAGTTTTAAGTCAAGTTTTTCACTCTCCTCTTTCATTTTCATCAAGAGGCTCTTTAGTTATTCTTCACTTTCTGCCACAAGGGTGGTGTCATCTGCATATCTGAGGTTATTGATATTTCTCCCAGCAATCTTGATTCCAGCTTGTGCTTTATCCAGCCCAGCATTTCTCATAATGTACTCTGTTGCTGCTGCTGCTAAGTCACTTCAGT